GCGTGTGCGTGCGCGCGTGCGTGCGTGCGTGCGTGCGTGCGTGCGTGCATGCGTGTTTGGGCATGTCTTTGCCTCTGCCTGTCTGTGTCTGTCTGCGTCTCTCTGCGTCTGTCTGTGTCTGTCTGCGCCTGTCGGCGTCTGTTTCTTTCGTACATGTCTGTCTCTGTCTTCTCGCCTGTGCCTGTGGTTGCCCGTCATTGCCTGTGTGCCTGCGCATTTGTACGTCCGTGCGTCTGTGCGTTTGTGTATCTATGCGTCATCGTGTCTGCGTCTCTGTGGCCATTTGCGTGCGACCCCGGGCCGTCTGAAGTAGCGCTATCATTCGCCGCTTTGGACACTCACATGTGACAGCAAACTGCTTATGCAGGGGCCTGAGGCTCACAGATGTCTGCTGAATGTGATATGATTCTTGGACACTGGGATCATGTACCTGCATTGTCTACAAAATTCTACAAAGTGTTAGATCAGTCAATCTACGGTCCAGAGCAGAGCATTTACTCAGAGGAAGTAAATCTGCCCATGTGTGTTCCAATTGTTGGTGGTTTACGGCATTGTCTGCACCGGGGTTGCCTGGTTGAGCTTCCAGTCACGTTTATGGTGTCAAAGACAGCGGTAGCTGCAGGGAACCTTTGATGCTCGCCGGGCAGCAATGATCCGCAATGGCAGAATGCTGCACTGTTCGTGCTCTCGCTGAGCTAAATCTGGGAGACCTCACGTCTTGGGCCAATCGGTCTAAGGGGCAGCGGCTGAAGTCTGGAAGCAACTGTCACTTGCCACGGCTTGTCTGTTTACAACTTCCAAAATTCTCTTCGATTCCAAACTTGCGGTTTTCAACTTCTTGCTCTTTCGCCACAATGCGCCACTGCCCGCTCTTGAACACTTGTATGAATGGTTCAACGTTACCACCCATCTTGGTCAAAGCTTCCACAAGCATGCTTCTATGATGGATCCAGCGAATCGATGCTCCGAACTGTGAAAGGGTTTGCGTAATGATCTGCATCTCGATAGCCGTGCGTCTGTCGGAGGTATTCCCACAAGCATTCTTCGAAAGATAATTATAGAGCGATTCGGCATCAACAACAGCCAAGTTCTGAGCAACTTCTTCCTAGGGATGACGCACAACTTACGATGCTGCAGTGATCGCTCCCACTCTTTGAGACTTTGAGCCCCACTCCTTGAGCTCGAATCCTACGTGCATCAGTTCGTAGAAAAGAGTGACGCACCCATCGTCAGGGCTAACGTCCTGTGCGGTCCTGGGGATCACGGTCCTGTCGAAAATATCGTCGTGCCAAACAAGGAAAAGGGCGACCTTGGCCAATGGCCTTGTTGCAAAGCCAGATGCAAGGAGCCATACGTTGAAGGTACCGCATAGCAATGCGGATACTCAGAAAGGCGAACTTTGGAGCAATCAGTTGCTCGCGCAATGCTCGGATGGAAACCACTGACAGTCGGACTTTATGCAGTCGCTGATTTGGGTCCTGTTCGTCACCAGGCGGTCTGAAAGAGAAAATTGCTGGAAGTAGGGTGTGCTCTTCGGTTTGCCCCCGTTTATGTGGGAGGGGCCATCAACACCATATGCTGTCACGATGTGTTTCAGGGCTCGGGCAATAGCAAAGTTGGTCGTGGAAAGTGGAACTGAGCAGCTGCAATATGAAATCTGCGCAACAGCGTCGTTTCTCCACCAGACCGGTTTGGCCTGTCTGTCTCTGTCTGTCTGTCCGTCTCTGTCTGTCTGTCTCTGTGTCTGTCTGTATGTCTCTGTGTCTCTGTGTCTCTCTGTTGTCTGTCCGTCTCGCTGCCTGCCTGCCTGCCTGCCTGCCTGGCTGGCTGGCTGGCTGGCTGGCTGGCTGGCTGTTTCTCTGTCTGTCTCTGTCTGTTTGCTTGCTTGCTTGCGTGACGTTTGGGGCCAGAGGGTACCCCCTGAACCCCTGCGCACAAGCGCTACGCCAGTGTCTGCGTTCGTCTGTTGGAGTGAGACATGTCTCTGTCTGTCTGTCTTTGTCTGCGTCTGTCTGCGTCTGTCTGGGTCTGTCTCTGTCTGTCTCTGTCTGTCTCTGTCTCTGTCTCTGTCTGTCTCTGTCTGTCTCTGTCTCTGTCTATGTCTGTCTGTCTCTGTCTGTCTGGCTGGCTGTCTGTCTGTGGCTGTCTGTCTGCGTCCGTCTGTCTGTGTCCGTCTGTCTGTGTCTGTCTGTCTGTGTCTGTCTGTCTCTGTCTGTCTCTGTCTGTCTATCTGTCTGTCTATCTGTCTGTCTATCTTCTGTTTTTGTGTTTGCGTGATTGCTCGTTTGTGTGCAGGTGTGCGCAGCCCTGGTCCGTAAGAGAATGAAGGCTTTTTGCTTTTGCAAGGGGACATCCCTCTTGTCATTGGTGGATGGCCAACGAAGAGGCCAATGACAAGAGCTGCAAGCTTACCTGCATTTCATGCAGAGAGTCTAAGCCGAGAACGCCAAATAGAAGCTCATGTTTAAAAAGATGGGAACCGAGTGAAGAGAGTGATGTAAAGAACTCTAGTTACTCCTTCCTCAGAGTTTTAGTGTGTGCGTGTGTGTGGCGATGTGTGCGTGTGTGTGTGTGTGTGTGTGTGCGCACGCGTCGGCTTTGGAGCTGGGCTACAATGCTTTGCTCTGCCTGCTGCTCCATCAGCGCATGGGCTACCCTGAATCAGAAAGTTTCGGCCGAGTGTCTCATGAGTCTCATGCTATCCCTATGCATGCTACTTACTGCTGTGCCGGTTGCGGGTGTTGCCAAATCGGAATTCGGAGTTTGCAGGCTGTCATGCGATGGGGGGGCATCGGGGGCTAGCCTGCAAGCCTAAGCTGGTATCATCGGAGCCACCGGTGTGCACTGCTGTCAACGCATCATCGAAGACACCACTTGGTTCCATGACAGCATCATGCCATGAAAGGATGTAGCATGCTGCTCTACTCGAGACTTTCTCAATCCGAGCGCCGATGGTCTGCAAATGGTCCGCCGAATCGCCTCGATATCACATTGCTGTGCCATACCAACACATCCTGGTGCTGTTGACATCTGACGGAGTGCTTCAATTCACTGCATGACCCACGAGGCTCCGCACCCAATAACTGTCACTTCCTCAGGATATCCGCAAAGCAGCAATGCGAGCAGGTGTTAGGGTGCTAGACTCAACTGGACGCAAGCGTGCAGTTCTTCGGGCTGCAACAATTCACAAAAGGATGCTCAGCGCAGCATGTCGTCGACGACTTTCATCTTGCTGCCAGACCACTGTCGGCCACTGAACGCTCTCCACTGAAAGCTGATGAGGGGCCTGCGCAATCTTGTGCACAGACTTTTATCTCACACCATGCTGCTTTAGCATCTCGGAACTCGGAATGTCAGCAATTGCCTGCGTGCCCTGCCAAAGCCATGGGCGCCGCACTGGTCTTTGCCGGTCGGCTGCCATCCCTGAGCAACTTGCGCGCCCTTTAGTGCTGCACATGATGCAGCAGCCTGAGGCAGCTGCGCCCAAATGTTAAAGTCAACCTGAAGCATGGTGCACAAGTTGCTCAACCGGTTCGCTAGAGTCACAATTCCTTGATACATGTACGCATGAGTGCACTTGTCTGTGTGTGTGTGTGCGGGCGCGTCTGTGTATCTACACATACTCTCGTCAATGTCTCTGCATGTGAGCGCCGTGCATTGCAGCTGCATTGAAAGGCATACAGAAGACTGAAAGCTACTGCGAGACACGAGGACGGGACGGGACGCCATCACCATTTGCATCAAAACGTGTTACCAGTTGCTTGCAGTCCCATCAGCAATCATGCAGTAACTGAACACAGCAGTCATGACTTCGACGGAACGACCGTCTACACATTTGCCACAGCAGAACCAACAGTGTCAAGCGTTGAGAAAGTCATGGTCGTGATCAGCCGTCTCAGAGCTTCGGTCGTGTCGGCCTGCGTTCTTACCCACAGGCACAGCTCGCTTGTGGCTGATCAAAGCACGTTCAGCCGGCGATCTCCGTCTCCATCGGTCTGCAGGACGCAGGGACGAGCCAAGGGAAGCTGCAACGCCAAGAAAACCTCCCGAAGCAGCAACCCAGCAATGCCGGATGAACACAAAACTGCAAGGCCAAGAAGGGAGCGAGACGGCAGACGATCGTGTTTAGTAAAGACCGGCTCGCAGCATCTCGCAGTCAAAACCAAGACGCCACCATGGGCAAAAGAGAGAGTGAGAGCGAGAGCACAGAAGAGAAGAGAAGAGCGGAGAGCGAGAGCTGCCCGACAGCGTCATGTGACTACGGCAGCAGTCCCTCAAAACACAGCGTCACTTCTTCCTTCAACTGATGAACCGGCTGGGTCTCTGGGTATGCAAGGGGCATACACCAAGCATCGACGGTGTACATTCGCATGCATAACCCGACGACTGGAGGCAGGCATCTTCAAGCTGCACGTGTGCAGGTGCACGGGTGTGCATGCCTGCCTGAGCGCCTGCATGCATCGGATACATGCGACTGTCGAGGTGCGTGCTCCTGTGCCTAGCTGTGCAGAAGACTTGATTTGGCGTTGCAGCTCTATATCTCTCTCTCTCTCGCTCGTCTGCGTGTCCTTCTGGTTTCGCACCTGCTCTGCGTTGCTCCAGGGCGAGTCACACCTGCTTCTTCAACTCAGCCAAAGGAAGGGTCTGTCAACCCCTCCCCGCGCACGTATGCTCTCGTTCTCTCTCTCCTTCAGCACAGCCAGATCGGGTCGCTTGCTTGCTTGCTCGCTTGCTTGCAGGGCGTTTGGGATGCGAGCTCCCCTTCCCCTGCGCAGGCGCGCTACGCCAGTGTCCGTGTCTGGTGAGTCGGCGTGAAATTAGGATGTGATCCCGATTCCCAGGCCTGTTATCCCCCTGCGTTGAGGCAGATGAACCTCTAGGATGTCCCCGAAGGGGTTGCTCTCTGTCTCTCTCGGCCATCTCGCTCTTGCGCACCTCGGCGTCAGATGACTGGTTGGAGTCTGTCCTGCTTGCCCGATTGACAAACAGCGGTGCGACAATTATCAGTCGCAGTTCGCAGTCTTCGCCTCTGTTGCCTCTTGTCTGGCAGGCTGGGAGCAGCCAGAACGGCGCCTGAATCCTGTCCATCACAAAAACTACAAGTAGGAGTGAAGACGACAATAATGTAAGGCATCGACACTACAAGACAGATTCCTAATTTACCGGTGCAGGTATAGACAGTCCAATTTGGAAGACCTCGCTGGAATGGCGCTGGAGCTTGTCCAAGTCTATGCCTGCCACGAGTTGTGAAAGAATGGCAGATTTGCCGATCGTTCCGTTGTTCAAAGGGAACCACAGCCCCATCTCTGGCACATGTGGCGGGTGCGAGTGCGAGCAGTGAGTTTTGCGGGCTTGCCCTGTTGGGACGCCGCCACGTCGACATCGCGAGCAATCCTTGCAGGCAACACCTTTGGAGCTCTTTCCTGAAACCTGCACAACACGAAAATCCGCAATTTGCCAAGCGCTGCAAGCAGAGTCAGCAGTGCACCTGCGAAAACGGTCTTGACCTGTCTTCCACATAACGCTCACAGGTACTCCACTTCTCCTAACTAGTTCATATTACCGACCTCTGCGCAGTACTCAGCTTGCGGGATCTTTGAAGCCAAGCCTGCACAGGAGCTGCCCTGAACCCCACATCGGGAAGCAGCAGTCCCGCAGCTCTGATAGATGCAGCTCGCAGAGATTTGAGAACGCACACACCCGTGAAAGCACAGCAACACTTTCGAATCTTGATTGGAGGCTACCTGTCGTCCGACGTTGCCCGCATCCATTGCCTCTGTGGAACACGCAAAGATGGCACAGGGGCTCTGAAAACTCCACCAATTATACTTCAACATCATTTAACATTCCCTGCCACCTGGTCGTCCTGCAGCAACAGTGGCTCTGCTTCAGCCTGCATGTCTCTTCTCCATCTACGACGACCGACAGCTTGTGGCAGAACTTGCGAACGCTCACAAAGCCTGCACCTGAAGCCCACTGCTTCCTGCGAGGACAATGGAAGCTTGGCAACTGTGGCTGCGACGCCTGTCTCGGAAGAGCCTTCTGCGAGGAAGGGGTGCCGGCGGACCATGTCCTGCGCAGATTCTGGCAACGAAGCTGCGCCGTGGCTTACATCACGAACCGCTCATCAGGGCAGGCAAGTAGGCAGAGGCTCGGACTGGCGAAGGAGACGACATGGCCGTGGCTGAGACCAGCTTTTCGGTTTCGGCCTAAGCTCAGAGCTACTCCTATCAAATCTTCTATGTGCCCTTCCGCTGCCATCAGCCGGGGCGCCACAGGTACGGACTCGAAGGCCTCAGCCGGGTTATAGTGGCGAGTTGCTTCTGCTACTAGAAAGGCGCCTCAGCAAGGATCATGGACCGAGGAGTCGAGCACTCTCCGGTCAGCCAGGCCTCCGTGCCGTGTCCGTCAAGAGCAGACAACACTGAAAGTCTCTGGCCTCAAGTTCTCGCTCCTGGTACCTGGGGAATGCAGCCCCGATGCTGAATGCATGCAGAACTCTCGTCAATGTTCACATAACAGCGTTAAAACCATGAACCACGGGCGCACTGAGCAGATGAGAGCCACATCCCTCGGGATGACAGCACTGCGACAAAGCTTCCCAACTTGCATCTGACTCAGGGCTTTTTTTCTCACATCCCGCAGAGCGAGAAGTAGGTGGAAGGGAGCAGTGGGTTTCAGATTTGGCTCTCTTGCATCAACGGACTGCAACTGCTTTGGTGCAGCTCCGTCGCAAGCTTAGCCACAAGTTCACAAACAGAGAGGCACTACCACTTGAGTGGAAGATCCTTTGCGACCATTCAAGCATCACCCCGAGCCGTGTCTTCGACAGGCTCTCAGGCGATTTTGCATCGTAGCCGAGCTCTCCGTCAATTCCTGGCAAATTTGGAAGCGAACTGGGCGTTGAAGCACCCCTACACGCGCTACATCTGTAATTATGGGGCATGCCCTGGTGCTACAGTACTGCTGCTTCATGGCGCGTCCAAGCCCATAGATGCTTGATGCAGTTCCGATCGCAGGCCTTCATGTTGTTGGCTCGTGCAGCCTCTCATCCATTGTGTCTGGGTAATCTGCGCAATCCTTACAGCGACAACAGGCAACCACAATCGACGGGTTGGATCTCCCCTGATCTAACCTTGGGCTCGTTTTACGTTACCGCTGCTGTTTCACTCTCCGGGTTGGTGCTGCTGTAGGTCTCTAATGAGCTTCAAGAGCGAGGATTTGAAAGTCAAGGGGACCAAAAGCAACGGAAGTTGGTGCAGGTGTTGAAGACTTTGCCAATTGAATTCTTTGCATCTAGATTCATGTCCTGACACAGGCACTGAGGGTCACCGGCACTGAATCTTCCCTTCTTTTAATCTCACGAGGCTTGACGATGCTTCAATCCGACATTCACGAGGCGCTTGGAGGTGTTGTTGCCCATTTGCGCGTACACACCAAGACTCGACTCGATTGTGGGAAAAGATACTGCAGCCCCCCGGTGGAACGGCTAGCTTGTGAATATGGGGAGAACGATCTCTCTTCAAGTTGGGATTGCAGAACAAAACACGGTCCTTGACCTCGCTAGCGTGATCTGATTGATCTGTTGACTGTCAATACGGACTTAAGACTGGGTAAAGAAGGCTGCCCCGTGCAAAGACTCCAGCCCTCGGCATCGCACTACATCCGTGCCCTTTGCTGCTAGTCGGAGGCTCACGCCTTCTTGTGCTGGCGGTCACACACCAGTTCTTCCCAAGACAAAGTACAACTGCGATTTTGAGTTACTGTAACAGAATCTCATGTGGCCAGATGGCGCGAACTCTGCCAAGTCGCTGATGTCGTGGCTAAACCGACAGCGGGGCCATTAGCAACTGCCGCGACCAAGTTTGAGACTTGTGCACCACATAGTGCCTGGCACACCGTTCACTTCAAGAGGCGCCAGTGACTGTGCCATCACCTCTGGCCTTCTGGCTTCCCCCAACAGAGCAGTCTGTCACGGCCAGAGATCTGAGTGGTTCAATGCGCAGAAGTCCCGCATGTCCACTCGCTCATCACTGTCTGTAACGTGGTCCGGAAACTAAGGCAGCAACACAAAACGTGAGATCCAGCTGAACGAAGAGATCACATCCAAGATGTCGATGCTGCACGCCCTGCAAAACACGAAGCTCGCGTCGTGCCACGGAACCGAAAACCCTGGCCTTGGTTCGGGACAAGCTATTGTTGCCGTGTGAATTTGCAGCGTCGCCCGTACGAGGAAAGCTGCCTCAGCCGGCTGCTGCAAGGCACCGCCAGAGAGTGAAAGGAGTAAGAGCTACAATGCATCGAAGTTGCGGCGTTCGTCACATCGACGACGCACTGTGTGATGTCAAAGTCTCGCATCGTACCCATCTCGGAAAGGTCTGGATGATGGTGGTGATGTTGGTTTATCAAATTTCCCTTCAGCAGTGGTCCGGTAGGGGAGGCGTGTTTCGCGGGGGAGGCTCCTACCTCGAGCATCAAGGAAGGAACGTCTAGAGTAGGTGTACTCTCCGGTACGAAGATATTTCCACTCGCTCAAAAGCTGTCCCGCGTATCACATCTTCACCATGAGACTGTGGCATACTGTGGCTACGCAGCTAAGCAGCCCTCGGAGAGGCAAAGCCTAAGACCACTTTACGCTTTGAATGAACTCTTCAACTGCAGCGAAAGGCACGTGTCGCTTGCGCGCCATGATGACGGCTGGCCCAGCCCCAGGTGGGATGAATTGCTCCCAGTGATAATATGGATGTGTCTTGCGATTGCGATCGATGTGGAGGAGCAATCCACTGATTTTCCCTCCAAAGTTGCAATCGTTTTTGACTGCTGCACCACTCGAGGCAACTTCTGCAAAATCCGCCATCAGCGCAGTCCAGTCAGCAGCACAAAGCGCACCCGAGTTCACTGCGTCCCCACAGGACGATGCTGCCAAGCTGATGTACGATGCCACCCAGCTTAGAGAGGCGATAAAGCCCGCGATACTAACAGCACATCCAGAAGGAGTGTTCTTTGGACATTCGAGACCCTGGTAGTCTATGGCTCGATACAAGAAAACCACCGCCTGCACCAGATATGCCGATGCTTGGACGGCATCAACAACACATTGCGTTCTTACCCACGGTAGCTCTCCATCTTGGTATGGTCCATACTGGGTGAAAAGGTCGCGCAAATTCCGCGTCGTCTTGGCCGGATCCAAACCTGCATCCGTGAGTCGCTTGCATTACATGGACGCATCACATGCATGAGGACAGCATCGAAACGACAATACAAAAAGCAGGCGCCTTCTGCACGTTTGATGACACCCGAAATATTCGGGATTTGCTCCCATTCCTCTAGGCCAACCAGAGTCTTCCTGAGACACTGCTGAGGCCGAACCTCTTAACTCTTGAAAGAGAACAGATTAGGCCGACTCAACGACCGAAACTTATTCTCGACTCCGAGACACGAGAAATGTCGATGAGCCATAGCTTGCGGGTAAAAGATCAGAATCGCACCAGCAACGCAGAGCAAGAGCATCCCGGTGGTGAAGCGACACCTTCTAGAAGTACTCAGAGCATCATCATCGGAGCTGTCGGCATCCCTCTTCACGACCTGCTCAGGTCCGAATCACACCGTTGAGCGGACAGAAACGGCTGATCTTGCAAGACTTCCGGTAAGGGTCACGTGGCCTGCTGCTGGCCTGTACCATCTTGGCCGATCAGCGCAGTTCTTTCTTCCTGCTGGATGGACTCGGATTCCTGGTTGGCTCCATCCGAAATGTCTATCCACATTCCTGCGAGCTACTTGTCTGCACAAGCTAAATCTGCCTCACCGAGCCCAAACACAAGAGGGCCGGACTTTTCAAGCGTAGCGCAGGAGCACCACAAATCGCAAAGATTCACAAGGATGACACGCTGACGTGCACAATTGGGCCCATCGCGGGTCGCGAAGTGCCAACGGCGCCAAGCCCGGCTCAAAACCTGCCAAGGACATCAAAGAATTCAGCCTGGCCGGGCATGCAGCCCCACGCAGAACTGTCGAATCTATCGGAATCTAGCGGGTCAAGGCCCTGAGGTCCAGTTGCGACTTAGTTTTGTGCACAAACTTGGAATAAACCAAAACTTGCGGCTTTCAACGACAGACAAAAATCCATCTTGCATGGCCTGCTGCACATGGGTGTGACGGCTCGAGCATACCTGCGCATGTGGGAGCGGGACTCATCAACTCAGACGAGCTCAGACGAAGAAGACCGAAGGAGCACCGCTGCTGGAGCTGATGCAACGGAGCTGGACGACGGGTCCCTTGTTTTGACTGCCTTCAGACAGAGGCAGAACACTTTGAGGGCAATGCTTTAAGCAGAGCTCTAGGCCGCAGCCGCGGCTGAGTAAAAGCGGCGAAAGCATGCGATTCGCACAGTGATGTCCCGAGCAGATGCTCTCAGATCCAGGCCAGCCAGAGTGCCGCAAGCCCGAGCCGCAACCTCAGCCACTGCCAAAGGCTACGTGCAAGCTTCGGGTAGTTTGCTCCGGCGATTGTTTGCGGCTCCTACCTGAAACAAGCCAAGCGACAGCGATTGATAGTAGTGCACCTTTCTGGATACAGATCACGAACACACAGAGGCTTCCCGCCACCTACAAATGGCCTGGGCCATGGTTTCCATCATCTTCCGGCGAATCAGGTGCAGCCTTGCATGGAACTACGGTCTGCTGTTGAGCGAGACTCGCCCAAGCTTGTCGTTGCCATGAGGATTGATGCGGGCTGTGGACTCAATGGAACGATGCCGGATACCGGGTGCCACCGAGTGAAGGAAGACAAGTTATGGAAACTTGAGGCAATTTAGGACTACCCAGGGACGGAAACATTGACAAGTTTCAGAGAAAAACAACACCTTGCGGGATACCTCAACCCCCGGCCTGCGTGCAACAGCGTGCTGGTGCCGAGTACATGGAAAACTCACGAGGCGGCATTGAACCTTTGATGCAGTGAGACCCCGACACTCGAAGCCTGCGCTCCACGTCTCGTTGCGCAAAGACGGCCTTGCGTTACAGGCGGGGCTAGTGTGATAAGGTGAGCTGGCCATAGCTGGTGCCACGCCTGACGCAACCGCCCCCAAACCGGTGCTAAGTGTGTCTGCGCAATCCTGCTCAGAGCGGAAAGTCCCATGTTTGGGCGAATTAAGCAATCTGAAGGAGCTGTGGCAAAGGCCTCTGCAAGGCAAGCAGCAGAGGGCGCCTGGCTGTCACTTACGGAGCATAAGTGATCTAAGGTTCATACACTGTCGCAACCATGCAAATATCGCTTCGGCGCCAGACGTCGTCCATGCCACACCGTGCGCCTCATCACGAGACCCAGCGCGAGTCAGCTCCACCCAGCAGTGGGCTTGTGCTACAAAGTGCCCTGCTTCTCCTGACGCAGACATCGCCCTGTATACTAATTAACTCTCTCCTAAAGCGATGGAAGCCTTAGTTACAGCTGTTGGGTCCCAGAGCCCGCTGTCGATCTTTCTTCCCTCCTAGGGGCGTGACCTTCTCCACAAGCGCAGCGCAAGCTGCAGCTGGCTGCGCAAGCGGCCCTCTTCTTTGTGGCGGACAGCATCGAGGTATCGTAGCCAGGCTTTCCACGGCTTCTTGACCGCCTTTGTAGCAAAGTATCGCAGAGCCAAAGCACTGAGCCTGCCCAAGATGATGGAATCATGCCACCATTCTGCCGGAGCCCCAAAAGTGGAGATCGCTCCACCTAGAGCGCTGCTTGGGCTTATGGGATCAGCTTGACTGACCACTTCGCTCTCAGCACTCCAGGCGGAATGAAGTGGATCTGGACGCTGCGAGAATGGCAAGGGCAGAGACGAATCTTTGGAATCTGACCTTGATGAGAAGGACTGTGTGGAAGCTATCGGGCGAGGTGCGTGTGCATCGCACCGTGGGTGCAAAGGCCGGTTTTGCGAAGTAGCCAAGTTGGAACTTGGCCGTGACTCGGAAGGGGCAGACTCGAATTCAGCTGGCGAGCCAAAGCCACGTTCCCCTTGGCCCAAAGAAGGTATCAACAGCTTCGGAGCCACCAGGCGACTCATGGCATCGGAATCGGCAAGGCATTTCACAGACGAGATGAAAGCTTCTGACAGACTGACAGACTTGGACAAGGGTTTCGAAAGATCTCTTTCCAGTGGCTACTGTGTCTGCATCGGCGTATCCCGAACAGCTGGATGCCAGCGCCATACTGTGTCGGACGGCTGAAATGAGCAGTCCTTGCCGGATCCTACCATGCAACAGTCTGTTCCAGAATTTCTCCAAGCCCCCTGACAAGATCACCACCTGCCCTAGCAAATTCGTGTGACACGGGTGAGGTGAAACTTTCGACTGGGAGTTGACACCAGCTATGTACATCGGCCGATTTGTAGAGCATGTCGCATGTCACGGAGCTCGCGCCAAGAGTCATGCTTTGTATACGACTTCGTCCCCAAAAGTCAGCAACATGACGGACATGATCAGCAGCCGCTTCTTTGATGCGTCTCTAACCCAATCACTGCAAACATGCAACCTACGAAGAGGAAGAGATGTGAGCCGTGTGAGCATTCACGAAGGGCGCGCGACGCCTGAAACCATGCAAACCACACGAAAGAGGCATCCGAAGAGTTAATCTCCTGACGCCGCCGGGTTTCCGACCGGTTGACTTGGCCTCGGAGGCGGTGCAGTTTCCGCACAGCACTTTGCAGGAGGGCTGACAGGCGATGAGGCGACGGCATCCGCGAGATGCCTGAGCCGTGCCAAGCTTTCGTGCCGTGCCACGCATCCCATGGCACTGCCCATGTCTTCCCAGGCCGGGCCACTCATCCATCATGCGCGAATACCTCTCCAAATCTTCGTCGCTCCATGGTCCTTGCGCTTGCACTGTTGCACCCTGCCCGTTGAGACTGCCGTCACTGCAGCCGCTCGGAAGCTCCTGCCGGCAGCTCCAAGTCCAGAGCCTCAGGTTTTTGCGGCCGCTGAGCGCTGTCTGCCAACTGTCTCCCACTCCAGGAAAAACTGAAGGGCGCCGAAGACCGGCTAGCAGAACATCACAGCAAGGCACTCTATTGGGCAAGGAGCTTGCCCTAAGCCTTCTTCTAGCAGCTGTCTAAGTCTAGGGTGCGTACCCCACGTTTGCCACAGCGAATGTGGGTATTCAGACAATGTCATGTCAAGGCCAACAATATGGAGCAGTTGGTGTTTGTATGTTCATAGGCGAAACCGTAAATTCGCTGGCAGGCACATAGGATTCGGTATGTTCTAAGCGCACAGGGGATTTTGCATTCCAGCACTAAAACTTCAGATGTCATGGCATTCAGAGTTGCGTTCTTCAGTCTTCCGCAGAACGACAGAAAATGTAGGACGTCCCACAGAAGTGATGATGACGATGACGATGACGATGATGATGATGATGATGGTGGTGGTGATGGTGATGGTAATGGTGATGGTGATGACGATGCTGATGATGATGAGGATGAGGATGATGAGGAGGAGGAGGCGGCGGAGGCAGAGGAGGGAGGACACGGGTGTTCTTTATGATCATGAATGTGCCGATGATGATGATGATGATGATGATGAGGATGATGATGACGGTGGTGATGATGATGTTGATCTTGATATTGATCTTGATGTTGATGCTGATGCTGATGATGATGATGATGAACATGCATTCTCGCTATCAGTCCCGCCCCCCCCACCACCACCACCACCACCACCGCCCCCCTCCCCTCCCACCCCCCCCAAGCGCCCTCAAAGTCTACCTAACCACCCTAACTACCTGCACAACCGGACGGCAGACTGGTCTCAGGTGGAAAGAAATGGCTGTGATTCGCTGTGTACTGCTTCCCGCGCCTTTGCAGGCTCGACAATCTCGGCCACGGGGAGAAAGACCTTGGAGAAAGGATTTCTCTCGCGTTCGAAAGAAAAAACGTCACGAAAGGCTGTCAAGAGTTGCCGTTAGAAACCGAGATATTTGTGTCCAAGCGCACATCGCGCCATATACTAGGGGCGGTGAGCGAGCTTACTTCGGCACCATGGGAGCACCACACAAGGACAAAGGACAAGGACATACAAGGACTGGACCTGGATCGTGATTTTTGATTTCAGATTTTGCAGTTGTGCGTAGCTTCAACATCGAAGACCTGAAGCAATGGATGGCTGCCCTGGCTAGCTTTTGTAGGTCCAGGACAGGCTTGATGGGCAGCCAAGGCAGACGTGCTGCTCAAGCAAGCATGTGGAAGGCTTGATGGCCACAGATGCCGACGAGCAAGGGTACAGCGAAATATCGAATCCGCGTCGAGTCGGCAGCAAGCCATACGAACAATTGGTCCTTGCAATTACACTGGGTATGTCAATGCTACGTGGACAAGAAGACAGCAGCTGCAGCTCACTTCGGTGCACCAACCACTGTGGGTGGCATTTCTCAACTAAGTCCACGGCAGGAGCATCATCGTCGGACAAGCTGTAGTCATCGCCTCGAGCCAACCCAACATGCTGAACAATGCGTTTGCTTCAACATGTGAGAAGCAGGCCGGCAGCCATGTGGCCAGCGTCGTCACCACCCGACTCCAGAACCATTGCCTGCTTGTAAAAGGCTTGGTGACAAGTGTTCACGCATGTTCAGGCCTACTCAAAGTGGAATTCGACTTGAACCATTTCATGTGCACCTCTTCGCCCTCTATACCAAGCTCTTCAGGATTGTCCAGCCCGTGGCCTGCATTTCTGCAGAGAGAACTACTCAAAAACAACAAAACTGTGGCCCGCTGTCTTGGGTTCGTGCCGTCGCTCAAGCAGGCTCCTTCCTGCAAAAACCGCTCTTGAACACAGGAGCAGAGGGAGTGTGAGAGATTCCTCCAAGACTGGCCCCTCCATGGGAGCATCTGGGGAACCTCGCAGGACGAGGGAAGAGGCTGGAGCATCGTCGCTTTGCACGAACCAGATTTGAAACGGCGCCTGGCCTTCCTGCAAGTCTGTGCCGGCACGAGCACTGGACAAGGTTGGAATCGTCAGAAGGTCTGCTGACTCCCAGTCTGCAGGATCGCTCATGCATCGATTGTGCACTCTTCTCTGACAGGCTTTGCTATGCCAGCGCCTCCCCTCACAAAAGCATCCACATCAACGGCAGGCAGTGTCCCGCGAGCCTGCCATCTGTGCTGAGTAAGAACCCTTCCCGGACTGTGCGCACCAACTGGTTCAAAGAAGGTGCGAAACACTGGAAAGTTTCAGCAGGACCAGTCTCGTGGCGGCTAAGTCCGCCAAGTATGAAGCTTGGAATATCCGGGCATACTACATTCCACTGGCGGAGTCGGAGAATCTGCAGGGGTCTTTGCCGTGTCACCTCCGACAAACACTTGCAGTTTCACAAGAATCAAGGGATGGTTCTCGAGTCATGCTTGAGTCGGGAAGCGTTTTGGCGATGTACCCGCAGGTAATTCAGCACATGAGCAGAAACGTCTCCAGGAACCTGAAGATTTGGCAGACTTCAGGCCTCCAGAAGCAAGTTGCAAGTTTTCTGGTGTGGCATCTTACCACAACTCCCTATTGGCGACACGTACCCCCGAGGTCAACAAACAGCCGAAGTCTTAAACGAAGCGAACGTGCAGCACCAGCTTCTTCAAGCTTGATCCTGTTCTCGCTCGACATGCTCACCACACATGAGCACCGAACTCGCAACAGGATTTCTTCACTCGGATTGAAAGCCATGATGCGAGACAGGAACTGACGACGTCGAGGAAGTAGTTGGAAGGGCTGCCCGTAATCAGCAGACCCACCCGTCCCTCAATCCCCACGCTATCCAACACCCATTTTGTATCGGATTGCCAAGGCTGCAGCTCAAGGGATTGAGATTTGCGGCTGAGTTTAGCCTGCCTGTTCTTGAGGCTGGGGCTGGGGGCAGGAGCTCTCCCAGCCCGGCCGGTGCGGTGGTTGGTGCAATCCTGCACATCTCGCTGTGGAGGGCCAAAAAAATGCGCAAATCGTGGGTGCAAAAAACTGCAAAAAAAACTGCAATATTGCAATATGTGTGCAAATTGTTTGCAAACTTTTTGCTCCCACACTTTCCGCCCCACCCCCGGATTGCCGACTTTGAAGCCTCAGTGTCGGGGATTCAAAGTCTTAGGCCCAAGTCAGCTTTCCAATTGCCCTTCTCTCAAAAGCTCTGGAATCCAAGTCCCTACAAGTCCCTAAAGCATTCGTGTCAAAGACTGAAGCGGCATCGGGAGTCTCAAACCTCGCTGTTGGAGTCTCATGCTTCTATTTATGTCGGTCCCTAAACCCTGTGCGCCCTGAAAAAAGGCAGTTCATTCCGTTAACCAACCCTGAATTCTACACAAACTATACACTCTGCAACCTAAACTTTTGTCCGCAACCCGGGAGTCTCCAATCCAGAAGTATGCGACAAGCGTTTTGCGAGCTCATGATATTGATGTGTTTGCTTGTGGCACAGCCTGTGGGAACCGGGTAAGTAACCTGTCTGGTCCAGCGGCTTGCGGCTGCTGAAAAGACATGCGGAGCTGAATGGTAAGGGCTGCCGGCATCACCGCAGGAACTCCGTTTTCTGCCACATTAAAAGCTTCTCTGGCGAGATCCTGACGGCAGAAGCGCTTGCGGGACTTGCTCGCACATGATCGCGAGAACGTGTAATTCATGCAGCTGCGACACCGAGGCCTCCAACCGAGTCGCCCAAGTGGACATCTCGGACGAGGCAGCAGGCGCTCTGACTTCGAGATCTTCTGCCTCTGTCAGGGCTGCAGTACACTTGACGAGCTTTCTTCTGCATCAGTCTTCAGTCTTCCTCATGTGCTCGCACGCGGCCCTTCTGAAGCCCAGTGGAGCTTGCTGTGGATCAGTTTCTGTCTCAGGTGTTGTGGGAGTTGTTTTGCAGTGCTTCCATTCTTCGCAAGACAGGGCTCACAGGCCCAGCACGTGGAGATCTTCGATTTTCAACGCAATACCATGAAACATACCATAGCGTCACAGCGCGCCATAGCAGCCCGTCGAGGAAACGGGCAGCCTTGAGCCCTGAAGCAGGAACACCTTCGCAGATTCCCTGGCCTCCACGTCGGCCGGGCGGCTCGAGCTTTGCTCCAACACGCGCACGCCTTTGCGGGAAAGTCAGTATCCTGGCCCTGGCGCATGCGGCAGGATGCTGAGGGACCAGCTGTCTTCAACTTCTTTCCAACTAGACTTCGCCTTGGATGCGCCACATCGGTACGGAATCCGTACGGCAAGGGCTCCAGAACATCCTAAACTCGCTGCGCCTCGACTGCCACATCGTCCAGGTCGCCTTTGCTTTGCTCCAGCCTGTGCTTTCAAGAGCCGATTCAAAGCGACAGCCTCTGCAAAGCGCTCAGCCACCTGGCCAAAATCTCTCTTGCTTTGGAGAGAGGCCCGGCGACTTCGGGCGCGCTTGCAGTCTGCCTGCAGACCAGCATTGGGCCAGCTGCAGAACAGGACGCAGCATATCTCACACTTCAACGTCTACAAACGCGTCGGTTTCGCTTCACATGGACCAAGTTGGCCATGCTGCCGGCCTTGCACACTCTCATGCCAGCAGAAGTTCATCTGGAGTTCTAGACTGCAGATAAGCCTGGAGAGACAGAACTTTGTCGTCGACATCCGGCGCGGGCTGTGCGGCTACTGCCTGTCAGCATCTACTCCAGCCCATGTTGGCAAGGTCATCGCTCTGAAGGCCGTCCTGGAGCAGCAACTGCTGAAGCTGCTCCGGCTGCAACTGCTCGGAAGGTCGTCTGCTACCCTCATCCTGTGAAAGCAAGATGTCCGCTGTCTTCACTGCGCTGTCTCGCAGTGCAAGAACTCTACGCACGCTCAAGGGCCTGCAGCTGGCTGATCCGGTCGTTGATGGCCACCAGCCTTTTCAACCAGACTGCCATAGGCATCGACGGACGTCTCTGCACGCATGCACTTGGCATCTGATCGGGACTCCGGCGCTTTACGATTCTCCCGATCTTCATGCTGCTCTCGTAGGAGAGGCTCGCCTCGTGCGACAGAGAAGCGAATGCCATGCAATGAATGCGTCAACGCAGGCAAAGACATCTGGCCTGGCAGGACACTTGAGCTCAGAGCGCTTGACCGCACCTGGCAATTTGGATCGAAGAACCTGGGACAGTTTCGACAAAACTGAGAGCCATGCAGATGGCTTCGAGATCTTGGATTGACCTGACATGTGATGCAACGAACTGCGGGCAGTGTGTTCAGCATCTTTCGCTTCCCACCTGCTGCGGAGATCTCGGACCCGGTGCGTAGAGACCGAATCGATTTGGCCTTCCAGAAAGCTTGTCGAGTCCCAAACATCACAAGAACTAGAAATGACCTGATATGGAAGGCAGCGCTGCAGGCGGCAAACGAAGCTAGCGGCTGCAGGGCCTCCCACTCTGACTCCGGGACCAGCTGCGCCAGCTTGTCATCGATGGCTTGAAGAGCCTCTAAGTTGTAAGGGTCCTCAGTGCTGAGTGCTTAGGAATGAAAAATGTCGCGACAGTGAGGCTTACCAATCCTTACCACAGATTCCGCAAGTGCTGAATAGTGCTGGATCCTGCCGCAAAGGCTCCTCTGTCAGCATCGCAAGCGCCGCCGGCTCCTCATCCTGATCCGGAGGATCACCTGCAAAGAGATCGATTGCAGTTCTATTTTCGATCATGTCAAGTAACCTTCCGCATCGGCTGACAGTCTTCCATCGTCTGCAACGTCCTGTCTGCTGAGCACGTACTTGCAACCTGCCCTTCAGCGCATCAAGGGTTCCTCGAGAACCGGCTCCAACTTGTGGGAAGCTCTGGAAGCAGTGCCAGTGCCTCGCCCTGCCGACATACATGGCATCGCTGGTTTCCGGACGCTGGCAATTTGAGGCCCTTGCCGGAGAGAGTTGAAAGATCAGCCGTTTCTGATGTGAGTGAAAAGGTGGAGGTGTCGGGCTCGTCCTGACCAACCTGAATGTCAGCAGTGCCGTAGACCTCCGAAATCCCGATCTACTCGGACGGACCCGCTCCCGTGGAGATGCAGACGTGCAAGAGGCTATGGACCTGTGAACTGTGACAGCGCTGCCAGAATCTGCCGGAGTTGTCGTGCGTCAGCTAGCCGAGTGCAGAACTGGACCGCAGACGGAGCATCCGCCTGAGTGGCACAACAACTGAACACCAAGCAAACCCCAGAACTCCAACATACGGCACGCAACTGGCCTCAGCAGACGATTCCCAAACACTCCAGTCAATCATGACCTCTGCAGCTCGCATGCCGGCACATTCAGACGGAGAGCTATTGAACCCAGCCTGCTCCGGTAATGCCTCACTGGATGGTGTTGCAGCACCCGACGGCGCCAGCGAGCTACTTCTGCTGGGCCTTGGGATTCTTGTGGCTCGGATGAAGAAAGCATGATGGACTAAGGGTGTACCTTCTCGATGCTGCATTCTCCCTTCGTTCTGCAATCAAGCACCTCCATGTGAAATGGCCCTGTGCATGTTGAGAGGCTCACTGGACTGAAGAAGCGGCTGACCTTGGGATATCTCAGGGCCGGCATGATGCAGCGCAAAGACCCCTTTCCTCCTTGGAGGGGAGGGTCAGAAGCACCATTGCAAGTCCTATAAGTAAGTGGAAGGAAGCAGATGTGGCCCCATAAAGTCCCACAATCCCGCGCCGCCATCCGCATTCTGCGCACTAATTTTAGTTGAGGTAACCACGTATAGAGTCTCCGGTGTCTAGAGCCATTAAATTCATCATCGGAGAGAAAAAAGAGAAGGTCTACGTGAACTCTGATACACAAGTCCCACAATCTGGCCGGGCATGAACCTATTTCTCCGCATGAAGCCTCATATACCTATGCGCCATACACATCCAAAACTCGATGGTGCCCATTCTTATCAACTTAGACTACGGAAGGGTAAATTCTTGTGCAGCTCGACCCAATGTACTCATGTTTGAGAGAGAAAGGGGGGCACCACGCGGTCCGTGTGGCCCATGATACACGAATCCCACAATCGCGCCCCTGCATCCGGTGCACTCCCGCCTATTCTTCTCCGTGTTCAGTAGTGCCGGAATCTAGTACAGAGTTCAAGGTTTACATAGAGCTGAGCTGATTACGTCGCGCGCAGCACACCGCAAAGCATGGATCCCCCCCTGGCCCCTAATTCCTGCTCCCCACCCCAGGGTGGAAAAATGGGTGGGAATCCAAGTCAAACCCCAAGCTAGCACTTATGCGAACGGGGGATCACACGGCCGCAATTTGTCTCAGGGCCATGAAAGCCGATTGGCATCGATCAGAATTCAAGGCCGCGGCGTCGCTCTGGAAGTGTTGCTGCGCAGGAAACCTTTTTCCTGGTGCAACATGTTGACGCAGTCAAGTCAAGTTCTGATGGCGGATGTTGCCCCAGGCAGGGGGAAATGGCAGGAAGTGGGATGGGGACAGCAAGTAATTGAGGCGCTTCACTCCTTAAGTGGAATGTGTTGCCAGCTCTCTGGGATCTTGTACGAGCTGCTTCGTTGCCAATGACAGCTCAATACAAGTCTCCACAAAATGCAGGACGCGGAAGTTTGCTGGGGCCCAGGGTTTTCCCCTGCATGGGTAAAAAACTTTGACATGGTCCTTCCGTCTGCCGAAGTTTAGATTTAAGTGCAGAACGTGGACGTCTTCACTTGCTGCGGGCCTTAAGCTGCTTGAGCAACTCGATCTTTTCAGCTTCCGATTTCTCCTCAGCAGGCATCCTCTTCTCCATATCCACACACAGCTGGGTTCAACAGGCTGTACTGCAGAAATACTACATGCCCGGTTGGACAGCGTTGATTTTGTGATAATATGCTCGGCTCAGAAACTAGTAAGTTCGGGAGCATTGGAACCACTGTGACGTGTGGATCGGTGTCCTTGGTCTAAGCTTCGCACCCCGCGGCCAGCTGCAAGCTGTGCGGGGCTCTTCACTGTCGGCAGTTTGTGTCAACTTTGGCCAGGCCCATCATCCATGCAGCGAATACGCAATGCAAGAAACGATACATTATGCTGTTTATGCGCTCTTGCGCACTTGAAAACCACCGGCGAAGCCCAGTTGACTCAATGGCTCGAAGGCCGGGACGAGTCGGAGAAAGAAACGTACACACAGAAGTTTCTTGGTTCCGAGACCGAGTGGAGATGCAGAACATGCACCAAGATGTGGGGAAGCGCTCGCTTTGAAAGCCAGCTGTTGTGAAGCTGCTGCCTGTAGTGATCGTTCACGTGCAAGCCAGGCGCTCAAAGAATATGGCACAAACGAATCTGTTCACGTTTGCGCACGAGCTGAATTCCTACTGAAAGACGCTTATCGTTCGGCCCTGCACTCAAGATTGAAGCCCAAGTTAAAGCGACGCTCAGCTGCAACAAGCACTACAATTGACAGCAACATGTGCCAAGGTCGCAACGCTTTCTCTTCTCAGGCGCTCCTATCCAAAAAGGCTTCTCGTGGCGAGCCGGGAGATCGTCAAGAAGTCGAGGCACCCTCAAGAACCTGTATCTGTCCTTCGTCGCCTCCACCCTGGCAAGCGAGATTGTCTGTGCAAGCAGCTTGAGTTGTAGTGCTAGCTATAGGCATCTGATTAAGCCGCCAGCGGCATGTGTCCGGCATACGCATGCTTTTCAGGGATGCAGCTGTGTGCATACGGGTCGAGACCGTCGAGTCCACTATGTACAACTATGTACAACGTCCAACACTATGACTATTTCTCTCTTTTGCGTGCATGCCAATGCACGCAAGCGACGCCTCTACTCAACTATCGGATCGGATCATGACAGCTGCTGCTTCAAGGTAGGTGCTCACTCGACTCTAGATTTCGCTTGAAGCCCTGTGGCGCCCTCTGGAGTTTGGGGCAATGACTTGACAGTCGAAGCTTGACATCCGCCTGCATGGCGAACTCCGTGAGCATAGCAGGATGATCAGGATGGCAGGACGATGGCGACAGGGGCCAAAGTCTGCTTACACTGCTCGACGGCACGCGATCAAGCCTTCCTTCATCTGCTTTTCTTGGCTTTCTCCTTTCCGCTTCAGATGCGCACATGACATCTCAAACTGCACCGACAGTCCGCCACATGAGCAAAAATCTGAAGTATGAAGAAGTCCTTGCTTCTTCTGCGCTCTGCGACCTCATGCACAAGGAAGCACCATAACAAGCTAAGTGGCCTTGGATCGCAGCTAAAGCTGCGCAAAGCTGACCTAGAAAAGGAAAAGAGACATAGCCAAGAAACGACCAGCCAGATCATGTATGCAATGGCAGCAAAGCTTGTAATCGATCCTGCTGCAGATGCTGCACGAACCCGTGCGACCCGCATGCAGATTGCACTGATTGCACCACTGCAGAGCAAGAAGCAACAACGTCGAGACGGCCTAGTAGGACCTTCGTGGCAAACAGAGGGTCCGTGTCAACAACCTGAACTGAGCACAAGGCATTCCAGAGTCACCCCCACCCCACTGCATTGCGGGTCGAGGAGCTGTTGGGGACTCGAGGCTGGCCATCCCAATCGCAAGAAAAAGCCAAGGCGACAGCTGCGGTCAAGCATGTTCGATCAGCAAGCTCCAGAAGCTCAGATTTCACGAGAGGCGAAGCGACTTAGAGTCCCAAAAGAGCCAGAGGTGCTCAGCTTTGGAAGCCTTGAGGCGAGCCATGCCGTCGGCCTGTGTCAGAGGAATGGAATGAAACGGGCAGGACGATGAGCCTCAGCTGTGCCTCTCTTCTCGCCAAGAGCGTATCTAATCGCGCGATCTGCCTGACAGCGGGCATCTCACGAGGCTGGCCACATCCCACCCCCTCGAAGACCATGCCTCGCAATCTTGTCTACAGCAGACTCCCCTGCAGCCTGAATTCGGGGAAGCCAAAGCGTGATATGGAGAGCAGGAGTTAGAGTCCGTTGGAGTACCGACCAACAGCAATTCCGTGAAAACAGCGCATATAATCCCATAGTAGCAGCAGATGTCCTCCTCCACCTGCAGGCGCACGATTGGCAACTCCTCAACCTTGGTTCACTGATGGCTTAGGCTCTGTTCTTGGCTGCTTCTGCCTGCAATCTTCTTTCCAATTTGTGGAGCTCTCCGACCACTTAGGCAAAGACCGCCTTCTCCTCGAAGAAGTACTTCTCCAAGAAGGCGGGCAACCTGATCGAATGCAAAGCTGCCTTCAGAAGTTGAGGTGTTTCTGAGGGGCTCACTTGAAGTCTTCGCTGAGGCCCTTGATGCTACCTGCAAGAAGCAAAGGAATTGGCAAAGCCAAGCACCCAAAGTACAACGTGCTAATCATGTGCCGGGTATGGCGGTTTGTGCAAGACTCTCTCTGCCCATACCACTACGTCAGTACCTCACCACACATCATGATTTGGCTGCATCTTGTCACAACCTTTGTTTTTGCTGTCACCTTGCTAGCAACATGTGTTGCAACCTCACTCAACAAACCGCAACAGGTTCTCAATGTAGATGATGCACCCGTTGCAGGCCAGTCTTGTTACATTCCTGCTTCTTGCGGTGCTCACGAGAGACGCTTTCAGGGTGCAGGCACAGTGGAGCTCGGCTTCGAAGAGAAGACACGAAGACCCTCGGATTGCACCTGGAGCAGATGCTCCGTTGTCTCCAGATGCTCCTCCCCGGAAGTGGCCACAGCTAACAGTCGTTGCGTTGCGATCGGCGACAGAACTTGGAAATGCTTCCAGTCCGGAGGTCCTGGCTCCCGATGTCGAGATTTCCTCCTGTTGAGCACGACACAGCAGCAGATAACACCAGGGAACCTCTGTCAATGCACTCCGTGGCCTTTCCGCAGTGAGGGAGGCGTTGATGTCGACAACATCCTCAAAATCCACGGGAAGCGAAACCAAAAGCTCCTGCAGAGGCAGGTGTGAACACGGCGAGCGGTGCGGGTGCGAGTCACAGCTCAGAAGTATTGAAATGATGATCCCGAGCTACGCTAGATCGGGGGCTGTTCGGAGAGGAGATGTCTTGCGAGTCTGGACGCTACGGTGATCTACATCTCCCGTGGACATGGACGCCTGCGTCGGGAAAGGAGGGCCAAACGCGGGTCCGCATCTGCAGCTCCGCACTCCAGAAGGCTAAACGAATCCAACGCTTGGTAGTCCCTGTGATGTCAGCATGCTGCATCGCAGCTCCCTTCCTTTCCTAGTTGTATTTGCTATTGAAGCAAGGCGTTGCTTGCTAGCATCTCCATAATATCAGACAACATATGCACTCATCTAAATTTCTCGGAGCCCTTTTACTCACCAAACCCTTACATCAACGCTAGTTCATGTGCCCCTCAGCTCGATCTTGCTCGGATCCCCTGATATGCTCGTCAAAGCCCTTGTTCGAGGGGCGGGGGGGGAAGGGGGGCAAGAAAGCAGCCCCCTGCAACAAGGAAAACTGCTTGACAAGTACTTGCTTCAGCGTACCGCCCCACCCCCCAAACGCCCCCCCTCCGAAGTACGTTCTTGGCTTCCTTGATTCCGCCAGCGCATGCTACCCGGATCTACTGGGCCCGGTTCACAGACATTTGGTGACATGTGCCTCGTCCTTCATGTTATCTGCCTCGTCAGCCTGAAAATGCATTGAAGTTGTCTAGCACGGAGACATCTCGTGATGGCACAGCCCTTGTGACCCTTGCGGCACACCTGAAAAGTCTTGCTGCGCAATGTCTCCAAGTAGCCTTATTTGCCGACGGCTGCCACGGAATGACATCGCTCCAAAGCGAAGCACTCAGACTTGGGGTCACGCCAGCGAGCTCCCGGCGGCCTCTCTCTGCCCGTTGCTTTGCCTGGTAAGTCGACCGAGACGTGTGAAAAATCTTCCGCGCATATTCTGGCCTTGGCTAAGCTCTTCTCGAGTTCACCCAAGGATCGTCGCCCATCCTCCGTCCTTCCCGGCTCTTGCATCACGGTGCCCCACTGCACAGCCACTGCTGCACTGGCCTGAGGCGCCATCGACCCGAGTCCTAGTCGAAAGCAAGAGATGCTTCATGTGGCAAAAAAATATAAAAAAAATCAGAAAAAGCTCGTCCTGTTCCTCCTGCGAAGCCTCCGACACCTGGCCGGCGAAATTCCGACTGACAACGAACTTGAGCTAGACAGCACCGAGCGACAGCCTCGTTGTCATCCATAAGTTGCCTCGCGAGCCAATCTCGTCGGATCTGAGCAGCTGCCGCTAGCCTCGGGTGATCCAAGGCGCGTTTTCTTGATTCTTTGGACATAGGCCGGAGGAGATGCACTTCGAAGCTGCAACATGTAAGCCGCGGACATGTCATCACTGGCTGCATCTGGGCGGACATCCTCAATGCCTACATCACAAGACGACAAGCGTGCTAAACTAACCCCACAGCCCAACTGCATCACTATGAACCACCATGTGCCTTCGCTCCAAGCTATTCGGGGAGCTGGAACATCCTCGACCTTTGGAGCACTATACATGGCTGAACCAGGAGAGAAACAACAAGAGACCGCTCCAACCGCTCACCGTAGCATCAGCACTCGCCGAGCTGGCGGTGTGAAGCGACCTCAAGCGCAATCCGTCATGCAATTTGACCCTTTGCGGAGACAGACCCAAAGTTCACGTGTACAAGGAGCTCTCACTGCAGCTGACCGACACTTTTGGAGATCTGGCCACAGATGCCGTAAGCGAAGCGAGGCCACGACTGGCGTGCAAAAGAGAGCAAGTCCTACCCTCGGCATTGTCGTGATCGAGGTGCCTGACCGGTCTCGGTCGTCCGCGGGGCATTGGTTTCGGCTCTGCCTGCGGACCGAGCACGCTCTGTCTCTGGAATCAGACAGTCTAGAGCGCGAGCCAGGGAGAGGCGGAGAGAGAGAGAGAGAGAGAGCGCAGCCTCAATGCTGGGACGGAAGATGAAACCATCAGCGTCTGGGACAAGTGTCCTTGTCCCTCCTGCATCAATTCGTGGCGCATGGTTCGGTTGAAAAAAGGGCACGGAGTCCTGCCTGGTGTTTTCGGCAAAGACGCATAGACTGCGGCTGCTCTCTGATATGATGCGCTGCTCGGACGCGTCAGGCCGTCCTGTTCCGGACTCCGGAGTCATCAGCAGACGTGTTTGCAGGAAGTGACAACAGGGCCCGGGATGGGTCAGCATGGAGCAACCTATATGCTTGAAAGCAGAAGAGTCGAGTCTGACATGCAGTGCCGCGAAGCGCATGCAGCAGGTCTGATGCACCTCCTCCTCTTTCGATAGCGACCTGCTGCGGAACATACTCTGAACGGCAAGGCCGGCTCATGCTGGGTCTATCGGATATTGCATAAGCAGCGAGACAGAGCTTGGTTTTTTGCCTCGTGTGAGTGTGTGCAACTCCTGCACCAAAGGATTTTAGGATGTAGGATCCAGGACGTAAGATCTACCCGAGACGCAGAGGCCATCCCTCTTGTCGTTGGTGGATGGCCAACGAAGAGGCCAATGACAAGAGGTGAAAACGTGCCTGCACTAAGATATGGACGAGAAAGCGAGGCAACAATCTAGCACAAACAGCAGCCATCTAAGTAAGGATGACTGGTTTGCAAGTGTGTTCCCTACAGTATTCTGCCAAAGTGCGGACTCCGGGTCGGCAGGGCATAACTGAGTACATCTGAGCACCTGCTGAATACATCTGACGATCCGTGAATCAGCCTAGCCTCCGCAAGGTTTGGACCGCCTAAAGCAACTGAAAGACCACCCGCCTGAAGAATGATACGCTGAAGATTTCCCTTGGGAAATCAACTCAGGAGTTCTATCTGATATCTTTCTGGGTCGCAGCCATTGACGAGGATTTGCTTGCTTGAAGGAAAGCTCCGTGGACGACCCCAAGCTTGTGGAGCTAAGGAGTAAACTCACAAACATCTTTATCACTTAGCCATTGTATCAACCTTCCGTTTGTGCCCTGCACCATGGCTAACTACCATTTTCAGCATGACCGAGAAGACGGTCAAGATCGCAGCGTTCGGGCTGCCAAAGCTACTCTCAATACAACAACTACAAGAGCAAGCAGATCAAGCGCAGCCTGTTGCGTTGCTATGGCTGTGTTCTTCGGTCAACCGTCGTCGTCCTCGTCGTCGCCGTCGTCGTCGTCGTCGTGTTGCTGTGTTGCTGCTGTTCGTCCGTCGTCGTCTTTGTTTTGCATGTAGACGTTGCTGTAAGTACCATTCCTGTTTTGGCTGTTGTGTCGTTCGATCGTCGTCGTCGTCGTCGTGCTTTGATGTTGCTGCCCTTCGTCCGTCGGGTGTGGTTTGTTTTTGTGTTTTGTTGCTGCCATCTAAGCGTCTAGGGAGCACACATTGTGTCTGAACCATTGAGATCATGCACACACAATACACACTCATCATATGCCACAGTTTAACAGGCTTTTAAACCTTTCCGCGTCCGGTGTTGGCACCTCATGTACGAAAGGATTTAGGATGTAGGATTCAAGACGTAAGATCTACCATAAGGATGACAGGTTTTGCAAGAGTGTGTGTGTGTGTGAGGGGGTGCAGGCGCACCACATTCACCGAAGAGCTGCTGAAATGCTGTATAAGGAACTCATGTCGGCTGCTTCCGTGTTCGTGCAGCACTCAGGGTGGATGACTGAAAAGTGCGGCAAATACTCGGAAAAAAAACATACAATCAGCACGGACTACTGTGCTTGAGCCACGTATGGCCGGACTTTGCTCACACCATTACGTGCTGCACATCCTGGACTGCACTTACAGACGTATGCGAACTTGTACGACCACCATATCCTGCTCTCTCGTTGCTTCATCTTGCTCCTACGACAGCATGCTGCAGTGCATTGTTGGATGGTGTTCTTATTCTAGCAGCGCTGCACCCGAAAGCTAGCAGTCTTTCGCAACGTAAACTTGAACTTTTCTGTGACTGCCCTCCTGTGCCTGGCATCTGCATGCAGCCGCTGAGCCGCACGGTTTGAAGATGTCAGGGCCTGAGGAATGGCACATCACGGTCATGATAGGCCTGCTTGTAGCCCGGAATCCCTCATCAGACGCACGGATGTGTACATACCTGAGTAGGTCTTCTGGGTGCACGTCAGCATCGAGATCACTTGCACATATCGGTGCATACAACAAGCAAGAATCAAGTCCAGCCTCACTCGCGGCTGGATTCTTTGGTGGAGGAGGGGGTCGTCCAACCTTCACGCAAGATCTGGCAGGTGAATGCACCCTCGAGGTTAGCCCCGAAATTCAGAAGATGCCTCGTAGCACATGCAAGGACGAAAGCTGATCGACTGAGGTAAGGACAGCTGCGGGAGCGGTGGACACCATCTTCTCTCCGCCTGCTCGGCTCCTGAAAACCCACGGACGAAGAAAATAAAGAACTTCGGGCACATTTAAAGCTCGAAGTCGAGCCTGCTTGCCTGACTGGGTCTTCCTGATGGAACAGGACCTCGGGCTTTGCATGACAAAGGCGGCGCAGGACCGTCGCTTCAGGCCTGCGGAAACGGTTTGCGTTGTTGTGGGCACCTCACTGCAAGCAACAGAAAGTGCGATGGTTGGCTAGCTTCTGTCACCTTGCTGAACCCTCATGTTGTCGAGCCTCATTTCCATGGGAAGGCGGCCCGCTGGAGTGAGATGCCTGACATTGCAACGAGCGGTTTCAGAATGATCCGGAATCTCTGGATACCACCGAAACCATTGAGAAAACATGCACACATCATCCCGCATGCACAACGTGATATCTGCACGGTGGTGCAGTTGAGAAATTATGCACGCATCCAAAGCATCGCATCTATATTCAGGCATTCGACTCAACCAACTGCAAACGCTTGCCGATCTCCGTTCGCCATTGTTCGCCTGTCTGGCACATTGCCTGGCGTCCAGCAGCAAGTCGCCAAACGCGGCGCCTGCGACAATGTTGTGTCCCACATGCTGCTAGATAAGCTTGCAGCTTGCAGGCTTCATTTCATCCCGAAGGGGCACCTGCAGAGTTGGAGCGGGTTGAGGCAGTTGGACCTGGACGGCTCTCACTATCTGCCAAAGCACCAAGCACCGGCATATTGCAACAAGTTGGGTTGAAGACATGTTGTTCTACATGTCTTGGCCGAAGGCTGCTCTCTTTCGCCAGCTTCAGCGAGACGCTCTTCAACGGACGGTGAGGCAGCCGCTGTCCACCAAGTCCACCGGGCTTCTCCTGACCAAAATGATCAGGCTACAGCAAAGGGTGACTCTCTCAACTCGGACTACGGTGACTTCTTCGCCCAAGGAAGAAAACGAAAGCTTTCAACAGTCAGCACAGTTGTATGCTCCTCTTTTTGCACCCGTCTTGCTGTTGCTGGCACAAGTGTTGTGTCCAGTTTTCGTGCCGCCAAATTATAACACGCCCTCAACTATCTGGACGTCGAATCCCGGAAAACCGGACGGCTGCTAGCTTTCTCCGTAGGCGCGCCGCCGAAGCCTGAAAAGCTGCTCCTAAACCCAAGCAACTGCAGGACTAGGAGTCCAACATGAGCAGTAGTTTGGAACCCCCGTTTTCCCCGAAAGCCCCCAGGCAGGCCACCTGCCCAAAACTCTGATGTTCGACTTTGACATCCACGCCGGATTTCACGACTTCTGGCAAGACCCACCCCCATGAACGCAGCCTTCAGCCTTTTTTTATTCGGGTTGCAAACGTCTATGGGCCGGCACGCCGATCCCATGACGGGCTTCGCGAGCACACCATGTATCCAAGCTTCAATGTGAGCGCTTGGATACATACTGAACTGTAAACAGGTCGCGTAACGCAAAGCATCTCTGAGAGTCACGGCCTTTGAATTTACATTCCAGTGGCCCGCCGCCAGGCCCGCCACCTGCTGCAAAACGTTAACATGGCGGCTTCTGGGAAGTGATCACCCCCTTACTGACTATTCCAAGCCTGTTCTTAGGAGCAAGACACCTGGCCTCGATGGAGGGACTGCATGGTGCATCAGGAGGCAAGGCCTGGCCAAGGCTTCGCCTCATGCCATGGACTATGCCCGAAGTGTTACGAAAGCCCTCAACTCCATTATTTCCGACTATCGCAAAACCCGCCACCGACCGCCTGCATGAAACCAGTGCCCATTCTCGCATGGGTTCTTGTGCCAACCAGCGGTTCCCAGGTTGCGCCGACGCCCAATACGATTTGTGTCGTCTTTTCCGTGCTCGCCTCCGCAAGCACTAAGGAGTTCCACTGAAGGAAACCTTCGGTAGCTGGCCCACGTTCAAGTAGGCAATTGTGTTTTTTCCCCTTCCATGATTGGCGGACAGCGGATGTGAACTGCCTGCATTTGAGAAGTGGACTTTCGACCCGACCCCCTCGACCCGACCTCTTGATCAAACCTTCCTCGAGTGTGGTAAAGTCGAGCTTGCAGTCTTGTTGACTCGCTAACTGCCTCCATTGCATTTTTTGCAATACCTGATGTCCCGTCCCTGATCACGATGCAGCATCTGCCTTTCACCCGTGACAAAGGCTCCTTCATGTCCTACCAGTAAAGTGTAGTCAGTTAAAAACATGCAGTAGGTTTTAACAAACATATTAGACCGATGCAGACGTCTGGCCTTCAAGGAAGCGGATCTGGGACGCAGCCTGCAAAGGTCTGCGAGGCATCTGAGGTCTAGCAATGCGCTTTGACGAGCCTTGAAGACATTCTCTTCGAGAGCGACCGAAGGTGTCATATTGAAGTGGTACACCGGCAGACAGATCTGTGTGATCATGTTCAGTGTTTGAAATCATTTGTATCAGTGCGGAATGCGCGGTCATTGTAACCTTTGCAACTTGCATCTACTAAATGCTTGACTGTCAACCCTCAAAGGACAAAGTACGTCTAGAAACTTAGGTATTTGGTGTGTCTCAGAACCGCAGCTCGGAGGAAACGTCATGGTTGCTGGCACAGCTGCGGCAAGGGTCGAAAAGTTGCAGCCGAACTGAAAATAGTGGACAGGAAGACTCGGGGCAGACGCAGGACCAGTGCTGCTTGAGGCTGACAACGTTTTCCAAAGAGCTTGCAGCTTTCGCGTACAGAACTCTCATGTGAGCTCCCCATGTGGCAATTCAAGGGCAGGAATGCAAAAGCACAAGACTCCACGAGGCTGACATAAACCTTGGAGAAAGATGTGATTACACTAAAGAACCTCACGCATACAGTCAATGCAGTCCACTCTAACTCTAAGGGCTCTGGCATCGACACAGGTAAGGATATGTACACACACGACGCGTGCAGCGAACAGAAAGACACAAAGTCACATGAGTGCACCAAGTGTAAGTGTCAGAGGGACAGGTCATTACGGCTCATCTCAGGAGCCTCGACTGCTGTTATGGCTGGCAGTGGAGTGTCGCGTCATGTTGCTTTATTTGTCGTCGACAACTTGCTCCCTGCATCGTTGCACAGCACCAGCCTGGCACCTCACAGCCACAATTTGCTTCGTTTTACGTTCCAGCAAGGCGCGCTCGCTTGCCCCTTCTGTCGCTCTCTTTCCAAGTGAAACGGAAGTTCTGGTGAAACTACCACTCATGCATGTTGGCCTTCCTCGCCTTTGGGCAAGAAAGGCACATCTTTGCTTCACAGCCTCGCTTCAGCACGCTTCACGATGGCTCCACCATTTGCGTGCACTATGCCGATAGAGCCATGCAACATGCATGTGCAAGCTGCAAAGCTGTGCAGACCCAAGGCACTCTCCGAAGAAGCCACCATAGGGAGTTCTTTTGAACCACCGTCGCATGACTCCTTGCCAGGGAGGAACTACTTTGTGGCACTCTTGCCCGACCTTGCTGGAACCCTGTCCTGGCTGCGCGATTCCATTTGCATATCTTGGGCCACGACCTGCTCTATCAGCAGCAATCGTTGCAAACATGGAGGCCAGGTGGCTGCACGTACTTAGGCGAATCCTCTTGCAAGCCGCCAGCAAGGGCATCCGTCCTTTTCTGCGGAAATTTCGACAAGCCAGGATACCTTTGCTGGCTTCACATCCTTGCTGGGTATCTGTACAGGATGTCAAGAGACGGACGGCCCGCTTCTTGGACGCCGAGACTGACACGCCTAAACCTACAGGCTGCATACTGAACACTCACATGCTCGTATCATGCTTTAGGCAATGCTCCATCCGGCCCTCAGGTGCCAGTCGGCCTAGAGCAGCGCACGGACACCCGGACAGTGTGGCAAGCTGCACTCCTTTCGGCTGGTGCAGCTGTGCAGCAGGAAGCCCACCGCTGCGGCAGATTGCCAATTGCTCCTCCAAGGGGCTTCGCCCTGCAGATTCTGCTAAACTGTCGGCTTATAGGACTCTTGCAGCAAGAGCTTATTATGCGTCTGAGGTTATTCAGTCAGCAGAACGCTGGGCTCAGTCACCCTCGACAGTTGTTGAAAAACACTCGTGTAAATGCTAAACCACCAATTTTCCTGTCTGTTACCTGACCGCGTCTAAAGCCGGTACTTCGGATGTGTGCGAGAAAACTGGGTGCAACTAGTTGCCGTCTGTGTTCTTTCTTCCACACTCTCACGAGCACAGTCATGCCAAACCTGGCTGGTGGTTCGCTATGAGGGGTAAAATTACACACGTCAGGCGAATCCTCCGCAAACAATGGTATGCCAGCGAAAGTATGCACCGCACCACGGTGGGAGACGCGTGCCGCGAGCATCCTGCGCAAATGATCGCATGCACGGACGAGACTTGCGGTATGTGTTGCAAATAACAGGACACAGGGAGCCATGCTTCCGCGCCCCCATAGTGTTACCACAACTGAAAAACAAACGATTCCTGGCTGAACGTTGCATAAGATGCATACGCAGCCCTCCAAGCGAGCACGCGGGTCAGCCTCACACACTGACTCACACATCACGTACAACACGATAAGAAACGTGTTTGGTTAGAGCGACTGTAATTCAGGACAGCTTCACAACCAAATCTTCTGGCTTAAACCAATTTCGCAGGATCAAGGCGACCTGGAAAGTTCACAGATCCAAACGTGAATCTTTCCGGTGGCATGCGTGCGGTCGGACTCTTGCCATGCCGAAACCCGTTGACATTTACCGGGGCTGCGATCCCATGAAGATCTATTCGCGTTGGCATGACCTTGACTGACTCCACGTGGTAAGCCCAGTTCAGAGGGCATGAACGGAGCAGAAATGCCTCATCGACTACGCCAACATAACGTGTGGGAAACAAGCAGTGGATACTTTCAAGACCGACATCTAAACGTGGTGAGGCCCAATTGCGTCGGCATCAACATCGCGGACCTTGCGTCCGACAATACAGTGAAACTTGGAATCCTGCGACAAACTCACAAAGAGAAAACGTAAACAAAGACGGAAACAAACGAACCAAAACAAAAAACAACCACAAAGACACAGGAAGTGCTGTCCACAGATCTCAAAGCTCCTCGTTGAGGCAATAGTCCACGTAGTCATGCCTGGCACACAGAAGAAGGTAGCCTACTCCTCATGTAAAGATTGTGGAAGCTGTAGCGAACGAACTTGTGTTTGGCCTCTCACGCTCTAGCTTCCCAGGCTGCAAAGGAGCCTGTATCTTGACGCGAGATTTGCTGGATAGCGGCAACGTGGCAAGGCTTTCCGCACCTCCGACTACAAGCCGATCAAAAAGCACAAGTTGGGCAAAGAACAGTCAAGACCACAAAAAATCGGCCTTTGACTGCATGTGCCTCCGAATCGCATCGACACGGCCTGTCAAGAGTTTAAAGCTACAAGTAAATTAAGCACATATCTTTCACTAGATAACGTCCTCCAGAACGACTTTTGTGTGAGGACCGCTGTTCCGTGTAAACCGTGTGAGCTGCTCCAGCAGCAAAGCTGGCCTTCTGCTTGGGCTTGCCGCAAGCATTGCCGGCTGCTGGCGAGTGGAACGGAGGTCTGAGCCAGGTGGGCCTTGCTCTCCTGGACAACAGTAGGCTCCTGGGCGGCTCACAGAATCTCACAGAACCAAACGAACACCAGCGTCGCAGTTCATCAACTTTAAATCGCAAGATTCCTAGACACGGGTCATGGCTCGGTCAGGGTTTCGGGCATTGTACCCTTTGGGTCCAGGCTGCCGGTTGTTCCCCGAGTTTTGCGTCAATGGCGCACAAGGGGCCTCGGACCTGACACGACACAAGCCTTGAGAGCTGTGTTGCACTGCGGTACGATGCCTGAGCGTCCATCGCAATCACTGTGTGCTTCGGGAACTTCGGAGGACCCAGCTGAGGAGTGCGGCCTCTCGAGTCTCAAGTCTCACGATGGAATGTGCCGCGGCATGCTGGATGGCAAAAACGCTAAAAGGCTATTCCTCTCACATCTAATCGGGCTCAAAGACTCATTGCTGCCATATTCGTCAGGCCCGCCCGTGAGAGCTCCGTCCTGCTCGTCCAACTCCAATAAGGTTTGGAGGCGGGGTTGGTGGCCTCGGCATGCCAGCACTGTCTTCGAAAAGTGGGGGCAGCCTTTCTCAGCATCATGCCGCGGCTGGCGACTTCTTGGAGCCTGAACCACAGCCACAGTCACTGCCGGCGTGCATCCGAACTCTTCGAGCCTCACCGTCCCGCCTCGGGGCCCGCAGACTTTTCCCTTCGCAGCTGAAGCAGATAACCATGTAGCGCCTCTGCTGAAGAGTCTTGTCGGGATTACCGCTGTGCGGGGTACTGCTGTTCCAAAACCCTGCTGGCAACACGCACAACTACGAGTACAAAGTGCCCATGGCCGGGACTGCGTACCAGAGCATGAGTTTCGATCGGTGGAAAGACCGCATCCATTCAAAGCACAAAAAGAATAAAGGCCCGTGGGATGCGCTCTTCAAGAGTCCGGTGCGCTCACCGCCACGCAGAGCTCTGGGTCAGAAAACACGAAAGACTTCTTACCATGAAGCTCTATGCTGTTCTGACATCCAATGACCTCGAGCGTTGGGCTTCCTCTTCTAATCATTTAGTGAGGGAACCGACATGAAACTCAGAGGAAGCAGGAAACGGGTTGGCAAGTCAACGCTGATTTCTACCGGCTGAGGTTGCTGTGGGGCGGACCCATGTAGTTTCGTTGGCATACCACCTCATGAGCCCAGAATGCTCACTGCACTGGCGGGAGCAATCCCAAGAAAAAAATGTGCACGGCGCTATTTTGGAAGCACGATTTCTGGAGGCAGACGCGGCACTGTGGTGGGAGCACGATCGCCCACTTTGGAAAGTTCCAAACAAAACTCTCCGGAAAAACGGGACTTCAAGACCAGAATACAGACCATACCAAGCAGCCCTGCGGAGGCTCTGCTAGGACTGTAGGGCGAATTGCATGAACTTCTGGCGATTTTGGAAAGAATTAACAAGGACTGCAGCGGGAGCACGATTTCCGCCAAAAACACAATTGGATCTGCACAGCACCGTGGCGGGAGCACAATTCATCGAGTTGGAGAACGCAAAATAACGCAAAGAAAAGAATTTATTCCGACCCCGGAGGATGTAGCAACAGCGAGACTCTGACAAGAACGCGCTTTTTGGCGAATATATGTCCACTGCGCTACAGCCGGAGCCATCGAACCAGAGCGCGAGCCGGTCTGTTCCTTCACCAAGAACAAACGGACAAGTGAACCAGTACTTTTGCGAGGGATTGGCTGCTCGCCGTGCTTCAGCTTTTGTGGCGTTAACGCCAGTTAAAGGGGGAACTTGCGAGCAAAGTACATCGTCTGGACCTGCCTCTGGGAGTCGAGAGATCTGCCCCTTGAAAGCCCAAAGCATACTTGGAATTTGGAATGTCTTTGCCCTGACCAGCAGTGTTTCCGTTAGATCTAAGCTCAGCAGCTCCGCTTCTTCTGTGTGAATGTGACATTCACCGGCTGACATGACTGCCAAGGGTGCTCTTTCTCTCCGATGGGTTTTTCAGAGCATGCAATCCTGTACCCAAACATCGTCTGAGACCCAGGCCTCCTGCTGGCCATGAGTAAGGACAGCCAAAGCTTCGCGCCTTTCCTGCACAGATTCGTTTTGAGAGCTGCAGGCCAGGAAAGAAGCGACGAGTGGCCTGGAAAGCTGCATAATGCCTATGCAATTGCTTGAGGTCTGGGGTACGGTATGACGCACGTTTTGGCCGGCTCGTAATCGGCCAGGAATACGCATCGTCACCCACCGAAACAGTATTCGTAAACAAAACTTCGGCAACATCCTATGGGCATTGGGCGGGTTGGCGTGACCAACAGCCTGCAAATGCGAGCATCAAGAACCCGACTTCGCGCCTGCCGCTGCATCGCCTGAAGCTCTCGAACTTGTCTGGACCACCTCAAAGAAAAGGAGGAGTCTGAAGCCAGGGGCAAGGAAACCCTTCTTGCGATCACTGGATCCCACACCTAGACTCGCTGCACGGCTCCTCCTCGGTCCTGCAGGAGAATGCAAAATCTTGAGGAACGGAAGGGCATGGCACTGAACAGCCGGCGTCCGCAAGGGAGGGCAGAAGCTGACGCGCACCATGGCGCACACTTCACCCAAGCACCATGTTACTCTGGACGTGACTTCTGCACACATTGATTCCTGACGCTTGCTGTTGTCGCTGCCGTGAATGCCAAGGTCCTAGATTAGGTACTTGTGAGGGCATTAAGCTAGAGCTTGAAGAGATCGGAGGCACCGCTTCACTTCAGCGTGCCGGCGCTGTTGGCATCCGAGTGGCTGACCTCTAGCTTCCTCTGCCTTCACGAAGTTGTCCATTGCCTTTCCAGCTGGACATAGCACTTCTTTCAGTTTTACGAGAACGGCGCCTCATCTGCAGGTAGCCTCTCTGGCTTTGGACCGCCTTCGTAGTACCACCTGAGATTGGCATACATTGTCGTCGTACTTGTATGCGAAACATGACGTGTAAACAACCATCGACATAACATAGCATGATCAGCAGAATCATGTGCAACGAAGCACGTCCCTCTTCGCAGGACCCACTTGGGCTCAGCCTGCATCCACGTAACACGCATCCAACGTGTCCCCTGCAATAGTTTTGACCACTGCGGCAACTGTGGCCTGAACAGTGGGTGGAACCTGGGCCGAAAATGCCTCGGTGGTTTCATAACATGTGGGCCCGCGGATATCTGATGGAAGAGATGCGAAACAATGACTCCTGCCTTCTCGCGACGAAGACGATCACGCACCCAATGCTTGTCACGTATCATGCCTCATCAACTGGACAGCTCTTGGAGCGGGACCGCGACGCACACCGTCATCAAGAGCATTCTTTCGCGCTTCTGGAGGCTCTTCTCCAAGTGACGGTCTTGGATGGCTAAGGTCAGAAGACGGCATCCAGTCCGTCCAGAAGCGACCACCGACGCTGCTATGGTTGCGCCGTTCGGACCCACTGAGCGCCTCGAAGCGGCCCACGGGGTCTTGAAACAGAACACTCGGCAGCCTTGTGCTGCAATAAAAGGCTTCTTGCTTTCCGGATATTGGGTGGTGCCACTTCTACATACGCAAAACTTGTTCCCCATGTTGGGTCAGAAATCGGCACTAAGCTAATGTTGTGCCTTGCATCTCGCGTTACTGCGGCCACGATCTGACCCCTCAAGTCATCAGCCTAATCTAGAGCGTGTTCTTCGAGGGCCTTTTTCGAAAGATTCCTGTCCGTGGAACAAGAAGTACCTGCGCGTGCATTCGAAGTCTGACTAGCGAGGTCCGAGTAAGGCTCATCGCACCTTCTTCAGAAACAATCGCTTGACTTCTTGTCTCTCTGTAAGAGCCACTGAGCATGGTTGGTGCCCAGCTTTCAACTGCGCCTCGAATGGCAGGATGGATGTAGCAAAGGCTATCAGCCTGCGACTACAAAGTCGTGCAAATCCACCTACTAAGAAAAAACTACCAAACCCCAGCATCGCTTTGCCTGTTGCAGGTCTGCATGGCAATGCGCTTGCGAATTGGACGGTGCCAGGCAAGCATCCAAAACTGTTGCTGACTGTGCATCGACTTCAACGGGAATGGAAAATGCTGTTCTTCGAGGGTGTTTTCGAACGCAGCAACGCAACAGCTTCTCTGCATGGCCGACATCGCTCTAGAACACGAAAACTGAGTTCAAACAGGCTTCCCAGCAGACCGCCCTTTCGGTGGCGCGTTGCATACTGAACAGGGCAGAATGAATGAAAAAGGGAGTTCACATCTGTTCGGTCTGCTGGTCTGCATGCAGCCAAATTTTTGGAAGATTTGATGGCAAGGCTGTCAGAAGTGGTCACAGATGCTTGTCAAACAGGAACCACCGCCCTGCCAGCTTCATGCCCGTTGAGATAATAACGGCTTGAAAGTATTTGGGCCATTGTTTCAACTGCCTCTGAAAGTTCCAAGAGGCTGAAAAAACAAATTTCGAGACTTGCTGCCAGAACAACCAGCATGCGACCACCCATTGTTTTGGTAGATTTCGATGGGACGCCAGCCGAGTCGAGATCCAAATTGGGATAGCCATCGAAGCCATTCCGCAACCAGTCTCAGCCTAGCGCGTGCTGATCGCGCTCACTCGAGCTCCACAATCTGATCATCTGCACGGATGTTGTAGGCACGACGCAGCTCGGCGAGGAGAGTCTTAACCTCTGTACTCCAAACCGTCGGCATCAAGCAAAGGACCCGAATGAACGACATTTTCTGAAGCACGTGCGCAAGCTTCACGAGGCGTGCGTTCGAGATGACGGTACCTGTTGCGGAGTCCAAAGATGCCAAGTGCCTCTCCAATTGGCTCACAAGCTCCAAAGCAATCGGCGGCATGCTCCGTGCTTTCTCGGTGAGGTAAGGGAGCAATAATCCCAAGGTGTCCGCTTCGTTCAAAGTGCGAAGAAGCTGCCGCTGTTGCTTGTCCAGTTTGGCGACACGTGCTTCGTGGGGCTCGTGGCAATACTCACACTCCTCGCCGTTTCTGCAGGATCCTGCGATCGCCAAGTACACACATGGTCGGCAGCAGAGCTGAGGATGTCCAAGTGTGCCGGGATTCACCGTCCTGTGCGCACACGCTGCAGCATTGAAGTGCAAGTTGCGTTGACCGTACTCAGTTACAGATGGCCTGCCAGCTGCCTTCGTCTGGTCTTTCTTGTCAGTTTCCTTGGTTCTCCACCCACAATACTTCAAAGCTCATGTTGAGATCACTACGGCGGCAGCTGCACGATCGAGCTTAGCTGCTTAGCTGTTATCACCACAGCAGCTTCACCAAGTGTCGACTTCAGCTTCGAGAAAATTCAAGGAACTGGCACGCTGCACTAGGCCAGCAACGTAGTCTCCCTGCTTGGAAGCGGCGCCTGAGACAGGGAGAACGCGTGAGCTGTAGTCGATTGAGTTGAGGTGGTCGAACTTCTGACCTCCGGGTCTGGGGGACGTAAAGATTCAGCTCGGCCCCTGCCATCTGATAATCAGGCCACCAACCCAAGAAGCGGTGAGTCTAGAGAGGGAGAGGGAGGGCAGATGCAAGGGCTGCAACAGGCTTGCCCCTTCCCATCATCAACGGCCCGGTGCAGCATGATTCAACGCTGGAAGGCTGGGAGATTTGATCTTGCAACTCGACTGCTGTCTGCTGTGCTGCCCACCCAAACAGAACCACCCAGGCGGCCTGGCCGTGGCCAAGTCCCCTCGCCCAAAATCTCTGGTCTGAGAATCGGCCATTTCGGGTTTGGGACCTCTTGGGCATGTCTGATCTGGGAATCTGTGGCAGCGTAGTAGAGTTGGAGATTTGGGAAGAGGCCGTGAAGGCGAGTTTCCTTCGTTGCCTCAGTCTTCAGATTCCCTTTGCAGCACAATTGAAAGCGCTACTTCGGCCGTCACCCCCGACATGGTCCTGCACGCCCTTGAGGAGGAGCGCTACGTGCCCGACATGATGTGGCTGGCCTTCAGCTACAAAACTGCCAGAAAAGCTCGTCAAGCAGCACACTCAGCGAGACAACTGACCAGTGTGAGCTGCCTTGCTTGGACGGAAAGGAAGGTCGACTTGAGAATCAGCTGGTTCATATCGCAACTCTTCGCAGGCTTCGATTCCAACCCTTCTGCCCACAGGGCTTGAGCAATGCTTGCTACTGCATGCGGGCCAGCTGTTGGCAGGCATGCAGGCCTCATGAAACCAAAGTCGACTGTTATGCACAGCATGCACTTGGACGAACAGATCGGATCGGGCTGCTGCCGCGGTTCTCACTGGCTTGCTCGGCAAGAAGCTCGTCTCTGGCCTGGCGATGCTCGACGGAACACAGACGCAATCTGAGCTTGGCCATGTGCCTCCAGGACATGCCGTATCCGTGGAATGGCTGCATGCTGCAGGCTCCTCTCGCAGATGCGGTCACACATCGGTCGCCAACGCTTCTGCCGCGGACCCAGAGCTGGACTGCGCGTAGAGCGAGTTCAGGGCCACGATCTCAGCTGCTCGCCTGCCGATAAACGCACAAAGGCATCCCCTCGAGAAACCCACCGGAAGTCTGCCGCAACTTCGCCTGGCCTTCGCAAGTCGAGCTTGTTTCCGACGGCAGGTGTCTCTCCTTCGAGCCTCCGAGGTTTTGTAAGAGATACTTAAGTCATAAGCCCCAATTCAGCCAGCCGGCGAGCGTGGCTGGGAGGCTCTGAAGGCGAGGCCGCCGGAAGGAGACCTGCGAGAGCGGCACGAAATGGCACGAAAGCGAATAGAGCCGGGCTCTCGCGAACCTCTCGAGTTGATGCAGCTCCGGCGTGCTCTGGCTCGCGCGCATGTGCCTTTCGATGAAGGATGGCACGCACTGGGAGAAGTGATCGGCAAAGGCTTTCACAGTCACCTCAACTGCCTCGCACCCGGACGGCTGCCATGCCTGGTGACTGGTGCATGAAGAGAAAGGCCTATGCATTATGTGACCCAGCCTTTTCGACCACTCAGCTTTGCTGAGTTCCACCGCCGAAGAAGCTTCTCTTGAGAATGAGGCAGCAGGCATTCCGTCTGAAGCTTACTACAGTGTAACGGTTCAGAGGGCGTGGGAAGAACTGAGTGTGGCAGCAGGTTTCTTTTCACTGGATGGAGCCTGTCGCCTCGGCCCTCGGCTTGAGCAAGCGGCCAGTTCCCGCCACTCCTCCAGCGCATTCCGGGTCGGGCTCTGCCCGAACGAAACGTTGGCATGCTGGGCCCAACTAACGCTCATGGTTTCGGACATGGGTGTTCTCCCGTGAAACATGGCCGAGCAAGATCGGGGTGGGAGAGTGAAGTGTCGTCAACACCAGTTTACATGGGAAGAAGAGGCCATGAAGGATCGCGTGCATAGCATGGCATTGCACAAGGGATTGGACTTTTTATGGCCCCATGGCAGCCTCGAAAGCATGCTGAGAGCACCTCTCCGAAACAAGCTACTCAGGCTAAAGGGAGCGCTTCTCTCGGCAATCCACTTCCACCTGCTTACAGGGAAGTTCAAGCAGCTTTTGCGAACGAATTGCAATGAGCCTTTCTGCCGTCCACGAACATGGACAAACAGATGGCAAAGGTATCGCGTTCCTGGGCCGATCTAAGCTCCCACGAGCTCCTAGTGTGGTGCTTTAAGCTGCATTAGCGGTGTTTACAGCTGCCTCTATGCCTCTCTACCTTGGCAGCGTGTGCCTCCAGGTCGCGGAACTCGAGCACTATGGACGGGCCGTAGCCTAGCAACGCTTGGAACCGTGGCTTTATGCAAGACCTGTTCAGTCAGTCCCGCATAATTGCTGAAATATTTTCGCAGCTGAACCTCTTTATAGAAGTTAAGGACATCACAAGCAACGCACCATGATAAAAGACTATGATTCGCACAGACTTTCTTTCCCCCAAGTATGTGACACTCTGACAAGATGCAGCGGGTTAGTCTGTTTAAGTAGCCTTCTCCGAAGCCCTGCTTGGAATTCCTGAGATTTTCCACGAACGCAATGTGTTCCAAATTCATAAAACCCCGTGTGACGCAACAAGGCCCCCTGAATGCTTGAAAGTTAACTCATCTCGCGGCCTTCGTCCAAGAAGAGGGTGACGGAGTGCTCTGTCGCGCTCAGCCGCCCCTGAAAGCAAGCATAAGATGTCTGCATCACTTTACCGGCAGCTGCGCACCGCGCCTCCCCTGGATTGCAGCACCCAAAAGCTATACTGGCAATGCTGGTCAGCCTCAGTGGCTCTTCGGGCACGCGAAAATGACGAAACGGCATTGAGCTTGTGCGGATTACTGGAGCAGTTGCCCAAGCGCTCTTCTGCTTCCTCAGCCAACCCTGCAGCTCAAGCTGCCAGCCAGCCGAACAGCAAACCTGACACGCCTCTGCGCAACGAGCGTTGCTAATGCACTTCCCTGCGTCAGCACGGCTTTTGCTTTCAACGCTCGCGTGGCCTGGAAGAAAAAATCTGCATTCGTTGCACCTTTTTTGGCTGAGTCGGCCGCGGGACACCGAGCTGCGTGGAGACTTCCACCTTGCGAGTGGCCAGGACATCACGTCTTCCAGAAGACTTCGTTGCTCCTTGTCGTCTTTTCGCAGACCAATGCCTACTGGTAGGGCCTAGAGCCGATAAGACTACGTTCGCCACACGACTAAATCGGACCGACAACCCACCAGACCCTTAGCACACGGTGGCCTCAACATGTGTGGATGTCACATGCGCGGTTGCGATGCTGTGGGCTTGCAGACCATCAACGGCACTAACCAGCGTCTGCACGCAAATTGGATGGCGGCAGCATTAGACGTTCAACAGTCGTGCAACAGTTCTGACATGTACGTGTATCACGTGATCCTACATGGCGTCGTCTGAGGATTGCACAGAAGGATCAGTAGAACGCACGCAGAGGACCTTCATCCTCTTATCCAAGGACACTGTCACGTTGTGTCCACACCTGATCAGCTTCTGCAAGCCGCAAATGCGATTCAGCGGCAGCGCAGCTGCGCCACGGACACTCTGGCACTTGCCCCCGTCAGCCACCGACGTGCCCCGTGGCAAAAACACCATGCAACTGGACATATCTGTTTGCAGCCGAACAACTTTGTAGACAGCGATGCCCTTCATTAAATATCCCGCATCTGTGCTTCAACTCAACCGTACAGTACACCCCGAAATGAACGAGGCAACTGCCTGTAAACCAAACGAAAGATTGTAGCTCGCGTGTTAGGAAACCAACAGACCTCAACGAATCTAAGGAAGATAAGACTCCGACACGTCCCCAGGCCATGCCTGTCGAACTTGACTGCTGAAACCGCAGCAGAATTCTGATCGGTTCTGCGCGAAACTCGGACGACGGCAGGGGGAAGAACTGCCGCCACACCCTGTAACATATCGCGCACGAACTTCCTGGCATCTGTTATCGGTTATCGTCATCTCCAAGCGCAGAATTTGCTGATGAAGTGCAATGCGCCTGACAAGATCACGCGCAGGACTTGCGGAAGAGGCCTGAGATGAGTCCATCTTTGGAACTTTAGATCCTTACCCATGTCACCCATGTCCTTCCTATCATTAGCTCCGGACAGGACTTTCTAGCTGAGGTCCCTCGAAGGGATTCCTGCCACTGCTCCGGACACAACCTCTTGCGTGACACGACATCGCGTTCCACTGCGAAGGGCCTGGGTGTTGATGAAGACCTGAGTCTTTTCATGACCCTCTGCCTGCTCGCTCTATGACAACAATAACTGAAAATAGCCCTCTGCACGCTCCAGCGGAAAATGAAAAGTCACGAAACTGTTCGTGTGCCCAGGAGATTCTTGGCACTGTGGCTGAAAGTCTCGCCGTGATTAGGTTTGCAATCTTTGTTCTAACATAAGCTCGCCTTCTTCATATAAGCAAGATCTTCGACGAGATATTCGATGAAAGCCTTCGACTTCGGACTGAAACTAACTGCTCCCGAAAGCCGGGAAGAACCTGCCGGTGCCTCGCCCTCGCCCTATTCACACTTAGAACTTAGATATCAAACTCTATGTGGGGATCCACCAAAGCATAAGCTTCTCTGCATGTCTCGAGTAAACAACTCGCATTTGGTTTGCCTACGCTTCATGTGACTTCGATTCGTGGTGCATACGTTCTTTGCTCGTAGGGTCTGTTGCTGGAGAACGCAAGATGTGTCTGAAAAAAGAGTGATCTTGCGTCTGCGCCATGCTTCAGAAAGGATTGAAATCTGTCGGTAAGTGTCCATCCTCGGTCGGTACTTGTAAAAGTTGTCTAAGCATTTTCATTTGGAATGAGCCGATACAGGCTTGCTCTGTAGTTCTGGAGCAGCTATATCGGCTATATTGTTTCTATATCGTACGGTACTTCGTTAGAAACGACTGAGGTCAATACCCTTAGCTTCCATGCATTGGTGGCTCTAGCCTTGGACCATGGAAGGTTATGTTGATTGCCTATGCCATTCGTCTCCGATCTTGTACAAATTTTCTCTGTGGTTGTCAATAGCATGCATAAGCGTTGCCCCTCGGACGCGGCACGTGCGAACCGTCAAGAAGTTTCACGGTTGATTGACGCTGTTTGATGGTTGAGTTGACACCGTTCTCCAAATTAAACCGAAGACCATATGGTAGCGACTCTGCTCGTCTCGCATGTGGAAGTTTGCTGAGAGTATGATGGGTGTGCGTTCCAAAAATTAGCGTAGCATCAGCGTACAGCACTTCAGCGTACTTAAACCCTTCGATAAGTTCTTTCTGCTTTGGCGTGTTTAGCTCACATCAGATATCCTCAAAGCTAGCAAACAACAGCATACAGAACAAATGCGGAAAAACTGTGGAAAACCTTGCCGGGTTCCGGATTCTTGCCGCTTGTAGTCTGTTTTGTTTTCGCTTCAAATAGCTCCAAGTTTCGTACTTTGTACATGTTGCTGTTTGCTCATAAAGTAGTCGGCGGCATGTGGAGACGTTGCAGAACTTCAACTCGCCGCTGATGGTCCACTTTATCGACGGCTGTCTTTGAAATACGAGACATATGTGTTTCCCTGTGTCTCGGCCATGTTCATTAATCGTCTAGCTATGAAAATGGTTTGGGCTGTCGATTTCTTGCTTGCGCGAAAACCGATCGGGTCGATCACATCAGTTATGAAAAACTTCATCAATGCAATAGTACTTTTTACAATGCTATGGGTTGATGGTTTTCAAGTTTGGCCGGGTCGTGTTTTCTGTGTATTGATGCTATGTCGTGTTTGCATAGTTGAGCGAACGGAAGTATTTTCAAAACTTAAAATGTCATCGTAATGCGCCAGTCTAACTCCCAGGCCGTGTCCTTGATATTTCCACATATGTGGGATAATGCTTGTGTACGGGGAACATATTTTCCCTCCAATGTCTTCCACTGAACTTCTGCAAGGTATTCTGCCGCCTTGGTTGGGAAGCGCGATTCTGGGATGTAACTTCGTGCACCATCTTCAAGTTTTGTAAAACTGTTCCGAAGATACTGCGTGTCTTTCCGTGTATATCCTTGTTCATCCACAGCCTCTAGCTGATGTGTCATGTGTTTCCCTGTGTCCTGGCGCAAGTGTTTATGCGACGTGTTTTTCAACGTTGCTCGTGCCATGTGTTAGGCGTCACACCTTGTTGCGTTTTGATTTGCCTTTCGCAGAGGAGCTGCCATGTGTCATCAGAAACGTGCTTTTCCTTTGGCTCGCCGGCATTGATGTTGTTTCGGCTGCAGCATCTTGTAAAACATTTATCCTGTTAACAGGTCCGGACCATCTAAACCTGAGTCTGCACTGACCAGTGTATGCGAAGACGAGTCTGTCCGTCTGCGTCTCCTTGACTCCTTGCAATCCTTGCATTTGCTCATCCCGAAAATTTAAGGGCTTCGCCCGCACGCAGGGTACTCATACGAAGGGGATGAGCCCTTGCCCCACCTCGGTACGTCAGGACGTGTCTACAATGCTCCTCAACGATGTCAGGCTGAGATCGACAATTGAGAACAGGCATCGCGCGGTCCCAGCACCAGCCCATCGGACGAGGTTTGACGGTTCTTCCAGTCTCCGCCTCAGATCAACCCACTAAACAAGCCAAAATCACCTGAACAAAGCTCCACAGCAACTGCAACTGCCATCTCTTACTCAGCTCGAAACAGTTTCCCACTCCTGTACACATTGAGGTAGGGCCTGAGTTCCAGAGGCCAGGCTGCCGAGACTTAGTGTAAATTGTGAACGCAAACACATCCCGCAGTCACTTTATGTCACTTCCGGGCTCGGCAGCCGACCGCAACCAGCTAAGCGCAGCCCGGCGATGTTTCCCATTGAAAGGCCTTGCCACCTGGGCTCACCCTTTCTGTTACCCAGCCAGCCGTCAGGAATGCCTTTAGGTCGGAGCTTTGGCAGAGAGGTGGCACTTTGCCCACCAAATGCAAACTAATTCACAGCTTAAGCCACCATGAGCTGACGGGCTAGGCTGGCATCTCTTACCAGAAGGACCTCGTCATCACAGCAGAGGACACGAGACATGCTCTTTTGCTAGCCTGCGAGCTGTCACTCCGCCTGAGCTTTGTGCGGAGTTCTGACAGTCTAGCTGCACAATAAATCGTCTCGAACCAGGCTTGTGCCAGAGGCGTGTCAGTTCCACGTCACCACGATCTTGGGAGTCGGAGGCTCTGAGATATGATGCAAATGATGCGAACTCGTTGCTCCTTGCAGAGCCTCCGCGGCTGCTCCTTCGGCCCGTGCCTCTTAGGTCTTCGGCTGGCAGCCATGTGGAACCATCGGAGACTACGCATTCTCGAGTTGATTTGCACTTCCGGCGGCGTGCCTACAGGCGAGCGCCCGTGCCCGTGCCCGCTCGGCCTACTCGGAGAGCCCGCACTCCGGCTCGATCTCGGCCACCTTCGCTCTAAAAGACTCATGCGGACGAGAACAAGCTGTCTTCGAAAAGTAAGCTCCCTGCGTCTTGTCGATGTTACAACTTGGAGAAAGCTAGGCCATGTAAACCTTGGCAATAACAAGGCCGAGAGCGCCATGTGTCAGTCAGCTTTTGACATGCAAGGAGACAAACACGCCGAGTGGATGCAATGGGGCGGCAGAAAGGACCGAGAGGCAGGGAGAGAGAGAGAGGTAAACCTGAGTGCATAAGCATTGTACGCAAGCGCACGGATGGTGTTGGTGTTGCTCGAGCAAACGAATACTACGACTTACAGTCGCTCCAGAGACCGCTGTTGGTATGTCTCTGTTACGCTGTTCTGCAATGTGCGGCTTCGAAGAGCCCTGTGCAAGCTCTGGGCTGCAAAAGATGGTACGGTAGAATAGAATTGGAGGTCGTGGAGCACGGTGTTTCCAAGAACAAGTTGAAGGCAAACAGCAACAGTCGCCGAAGGAGAAAGCTCTTTCCAAAAGAGCTGTGGCCAAGTGCCAGAAGCAGCTTCCGTAGCCTATATCGGTCGTTAAGTAGGGGCTGCGAGCGCGATACCGCACACATGGCTAGGCTGAGAATAGTGACACGAAAACTCGCTTGCGTGAGTCTGAGCACCCTGCAAGCGAGGCGGTCTCGATGGCAACATCGGTAAACCCAGGCCCGAGCTGGCGAGCCTAGGACGGAGAAGCGGAGAAGCGGGCGACGGAAGGACTCGGCGCCTCTCGGTTCCTCTCGGAGCCGAAAGCCGGGGGACGCGCCAGCTGGTGCCGGGTCTCCAGGTTCGTCACTCCCTCGGCTGGGTTTCCGTGTCCGGTGGCTTGTGATCCGAGTCTCTCCCACCCCTCGAGGCCTCTCGCAGGAACTGCTTCATCCGCAGCATTCGAGAAGAGAACTGCTCAGGACATGGCCTGAACTCGAAACGAACGGAGCAGAGTAACGGGAGTAACTTCCCCGATGTCTTGGCTCGTGGCTCATCCAGATACAACTGAACGATAGCCTGGAGCCAATCCTGAGCCCAACATGTGTACAACAAGGAAACACGGTGTCACACGACTGACTGCGCATGCTCACCGGGAATCAACGAGCTAAAGGTCAACTACACAGCCTATTGCATCTGAATCTGGACATGCGCACTTGCTGGGAAACACTTTCCATCAACGCTTCTTCACACATGGAATTGAGCAAGTGCATCGCATCGGGACCAGCGGTGGGTGCAACCCCTTACGAGCTGCAAAGGGAAGTAGCTTATGGCCTGGGCTTGTGTTGGCTCGACGATGCTCGATGTACTGTTTCAATTCTGTGGCTTTGCGGCAGAGCACGCACCCCATTGTTCACTCGAGCTTGCGCGGCCAAGACGGAATCTACTGGAGCTTCCGGAACGGCAAGAGACTTCACCCTCAACGGTTCAACTCAGAGCGATCTCAACACTAACATCAAGGCTAGTAAGGCTGGCCTTGGAGAGCGGCAGGTGCTGCAGAAAAAGCTGAAGGTACAAGCGGTTGCCGAGCCTTAGGCTCAATTGTTATACTCCTTGCCACTGCAAGCCATTGTTATCGGGGTCTCGGCAACACCACCTGTCTGTATAAAGCTCTGGGCCATACCTGCGACACGGCCCACATGTGAATGCAACAGCAAGGATCGAACTTGAGAAAGCGGACCTTGAACAGCCCATCTCCGCAGGAGTGGCGGTACGCGCTGACCTTGAACCAAGAGCCAAATCAGCTGCCTGACCGCCGATGTAAAGCATAAGATCGGCGCGACTTCGAGCGTGGCGATGAAGTCCTGATGGTACTCGGCGAAAACCTTGGTCTCACGCGCCGACTACAGCCATGAATGCCATGACATGCACCTCCCAATCCCAGCCTCAACCTCGGAGGGCATCAAGTTGATGACCACGAAGACATCACCAGCCTCTAGCTCCACAAAGTCTCTGCACATCCAGGACGAAGCAGGCGTCTGGGCCCCGGCAGGTCCCAATGCTGGCGGCAACACTTGCGATTGTTCCAGGCCTTCGACAGACGAAGCTTCAGCTAAAATGGATACAGTTGATGATCCAAGCCATCGACTTTGCCGGGGCGCACTCAATAACCCCTTGCCTGTCAGGTGGTGGCACGCTGACTGGCTTGTCGAAAAGAGCTTAGGACCCCAGAAACGACATGTTGAACCCTTGATTACTTTTGGGCTAATTCCTCCGAAATTCACGTCAAGGTTCAGCTGCACGATATGCGCAGTGACACGATCATGCATTTATGTACCAACATTCACAAGCCATGTTTGCGGACCATTGCGGACATACTGCAGATGCTGTAAACATGTAAACATAGCTCTGGGCTTCTTGAACTTTGCTTCCGAGTCGTGGGGAAGCTCCAGAAGAACACATGCCTGCACCTGGGACATCACCATCGCTGTGCGCTGGCCCTGTGCTGCCGTCCTTGAACATGCAAAGCAGAAGACACCATGGACAAGATGATCGGCAAGATGCGATTTCTGCTATCAATAACGGTCCACGTCCTTGTCCATGCAGGAATCCTCTCACCAGCAGCATTGAGCTCCCCAACACATCAAGGTTCAAAAAAGACTGCTTACACCAAACGGACTGCCGCAATTACATCATATGATGGATGTGAATCAATGACTACCTGGAGACCCTCAGTGCGTCCAGTCATCCTGAGAGGCCTCACGAGGCAGACAACATCCGGACATCCCGTGCCAGGCTTCTAAGCTTACCCCGCAACATTCCTGGACTGCGCATTGCATTTTACCGTAACAAGCGGGTAAGGTTCCAGGACGGAATACACAGCCATTGTTAAATCGGGTGAGTTGTGAAGCCGAAGCATGAGAAAGTTTCTTTCCTGCCCCGAGCCGGCAGCTGAAGCAACGACGCCCCGAAACGTCTGACGGCAGTCTTGAATTGACCGGGCAACATCGATCATCGCGGCACGCACCATCACATGATTAGCCCTTGAAGATAAGAAACCAACCAACACGTCACAGACATCATCGCAACGAGAACGAATGGCCGATCTGGTCATCCATCGCAACTGACGTCGTTGTCAACAGGCTCTGTTTCCTCTTGCAACGTCTGTTGCCGCAATCAACATCTCTATGGCAAATAGGTTGTTCACGGTGTTTCAACGTCGCGGCTTTATTTTTTTACAAGGTACTGATGTCCTGCCCTCAGTCGTCATCGTCGTCGTACCGTCCTTGTATGGCAGATACCAGAAGGTGCGCTGAGGTGTCCCCCGCAATCCCCCGCATGTACGTTTCAGCCTTTATCCAACCCCTCTTCCCGGGGCACTCAGCGCAGATGAAGTCTTTTCAGCGACAGTGAAGAGAACATGTGAAATGATGCGAAACTAAACGGAGCCCTACGACATCCCACACGGACACGCACAAACAAACACACGCACAGACACAGGCGTAATCTCCATAAGCTCTCTGTACATTGCCTCGCTTGCTTGCTTGCGGGGCGTTTGGATAATGCGGTGGGCCCTCACCCTCCTGCGCTCTCGCACTACGCCTGTGTTCGTGTCCGGAGTCGGCGTGAGACTGTCTTTCTTTCACCAGGGCTGTGGTGGGGAGTTGCCTCCCCCCGCGCGCATGTGCGCCCCCGCCTGTTGCTGGTGCCAATGGTATTATGTTGCATGCAAAAAACACTGGGGTGCTCGCTCAGAAAGGACCAAGTGCAACACTAGGGACCACAACACTCCACTAGTACAGCACTCAAACAGGGAAGGCTACCAAATGCCAGGTGCATACACCATTGTGGGCAAGCTTGTGGAAAGAACCGCAATATGCGAGCAGTGGATCTCAAGACAACAGCAACTAAACAGGAGACCCCCGCTATGCGAAAGAAAGTGGTGCCAATGCCGCAATGCAGGTGAGGCTATACTTGGGCTCACCCCCTTCATGTCTGGCGTTCGCGACATCTATAAAAACGAGGGCAGCACAGCAACACACGTGGTGGACCGCAGCGATAAAGGAACATAGGATTAAAAATTCTAGCTTCTGCTCGCGATGCTCAGACCATTACTTGTACAGGGTTGCGATCCGTCAGGCCCTATTGCTCCGTGGGCCGTCAGAAGGACCCTGCCTCCCAGTGTGCGTGGGAACCAAGCAAGAACATGCTACAGTAGCTAACGCAAGAACAGAAGAAAGGCTTAAAAATGTCGAACGAGGCAGGGGTTTTGCATGCCCTTCTCGGGCTAGAATGGTTCTCAGGTCGTGTTCCAGGGCTTGGCGGCGGTTAGACGAGGGCAACAGTGGAACTCACGCGTGGGAAAGCAGTGGTAAAGATCACAGTGAGACTGTCTCTCTCTCTCTCTCTCTCTTTATCTCTCTTCTTCAACTCAGCCAGAGGAAAAGTCTGCACCCCCCCGGCGCTAGCGAACGCACTGGTCAGTTCGAGTCGGTGTGTCAGTGTTTGAAAGATGAGGCCTCTTACAACTTCATTATGATTCCGCAGCCTCTGGCCTCATCTGCGCCTGTCCCCCGTTTTAGGGGTAGCTGTGCTGCACTGTTCACGTTGCACATGGCTCTGTTCGGCTCTGTGCTTCAGACTGGAACTGCAACAGGTTCAAACACAGCGCATGTACATTACTGTTTCTGTCCCCTTTGTGAACGGTTTTCTTCTAGCTGAGGCTCCGGCGCTTCCATTGGGCACAACACTCGTAAAGCAAGGAGTAAAGCAAGTACACAGTGTCAAGACAACTTTGGACTAGTGCCGACCGAAAAATTCTGGACTCACACGGCAACGTCTCACTAATCTGGACTCGTGCCCCCCTGCATGGTTCAAATGTCGCTGGTTGCCATGCTTGTCAAAGAAGGCTGCATGTGCACGGCGCTTACGGTGACTGCCCTCGCTCAGCTCATCATCTTCAGGTTTAACATGACATCTTCAGCCCCCGCGGCCGCCAACAGATCCTCTTCGGTCTGTTTCTCATAGGCTTCCACCGCCGCCCTGCCGGTAGCTCTGCATCGGTGGTTTCATTGTCCGAGGGCGGCTGTGGGCTTGAAGAAAACCTCCCAGAGCTTGGACCTGTAGGATTTGCTCCTCCGTCTTGGAGTCGGCTTCTCTTGCCCCCCTTCACTGAGGGCTGTCACGTTGGCTGGGTGCACATAGTGGGTAATCATCGTCTCATCGAAGAGGTCTGCAGCTTCCTCCAGAGATAGGACACTGCTTGTCCTCAGCCTACCAGTCCAAGTCTCCATTGACGGTGGCCCCCATGGGCCCATGACAGTCTGCACTGCTGCTTTGGCGCTGTCCACACTCTCTAGCTAGGGCCACGCGGAGCTGTTGCCGCCCTTGACCTACGGTGGCTGCCTGCAGTTGCGGCATGCCCGCCTCGAGGTCAGAAAGGCTCTCCTTCAGGTCCTCGTATATAGTATGTTGGTTTGGTCCCTCCAGGCCTGCATCCTCCGTGAGGTGCAACAGGCGGATGCGGGAAATATGCAAGTAGTTCAGCTGCTTGCGCTTTTTCGTCGGGGCCCCCAACGAGGAAGCGTTTCGTAGACCGGGCTCGCTCCCCTCTGGAAGCTCCAGTCGTAGTAGTACTGCTTGGCCACCGTTGCGGGCTAGAGGAGGAGGACGGTTCGGCTCGGGTGGGCCGTTGGCTCGTGGAGGACGAAGAAAACGTGACTCGTCTTTGGTATGCTGGCTTTCGGTAGGCTAGTGCTCGTTGTCCTCAGCGACCGCTTGGTCCTGCTCTGGGTTTGGTCCAACGCGCTCTGCTGGTGGCTGCTGCGGCCGAGGTCTGGCCTTGCTTCTGAGTGTCTTCGCGGGCGTCTTCGCATGTTTCACTTCACTGCGGGTCCTGGTACTAGGGCTGGTTCTCCTGGGCGCAGTCGCGGAGGTTCGTGTAGTAGAGCTGGATTGCCGGGTCGCCCGCTCAGTGGTAGGCGTGGCGCTGGTCTTGCTTGTTGACCGAGTTGCGGGTCTGCGCTTCAAGGGCGGCCATGGGTCCCGCACCTTTCCAGTGCTGCTCGCCTCTCGTTTCTGCCGAAGGTTGTTCAGTATGCACTGGTTGGGCCCTGCTCTCTCCTGGTCTGCGGCCTGCAGGAGCATTTGGCGCACTGCTGCTCCTGTACGTGGGTCCCCTTGAGAAGGCAGTCTGGTGCCTCGCGGTCGTGGCCATAGTGCTTCCCTCCTTTTTCGTTGCCAGGTCCCACCAAGTTCTTTGCCAAGTCCCACCAAGCACCGCGGGCAAGTCCTGACTCCATTGACCATGAAGGGCTGTCGGGCTTTCGGAGCCTTTGTAGTGGGTGGCCCCGCGGGGCTTGGTCCCTCTTCTGGCGTTGCTGGCCTTGTGGGTGTACTTCTCATTCTTGGTGTCCCTGCCACTTGCTCAGCCATGCCGCTCCTGGACCCAGTGTCCGGGCGTCTGCACGAGGTCCTCTGCCACCGGGTTCTCCATGCTGTCCTGGTCCACGAAGATTTCCCCGTGTTCCTCCGCGTGGTGGCATGTCGCCCCCTCCTACCACTGCCAGGCAAGGTCGGGGACAGCCGACCAAGCCACAAGGGCAGTGGTCCCCAGGAGGGCCAGCAACACTGGAACAACAAGAAACGGTAAGGCAGCAATAATGCAGCAATGCAAGGTTTCACTACGCCCCGGTCTGACGAAAGGTTGTCAATCTAGGGCCATCTAGGGGTCCTAACAGTAAGATGGTCGGGCCAGTATGAAGCAATCAGACTTGTCTTTTGGCGCTGACTCGCAGGAAAAGGCCTGACGAGCTGGCTAAAGTTAAAGGGGAAACAAACCCTGCTTGTCTTGGCTGTCAAGAAGCATCAAGCTCGAAAAAATATCATGCAGCGTCTGCTCAACATTGAGACAATTTCATCTCTCGGAAGCAACCGCACTGACAGGTCAAAAGTGCATGGCTCATGATATGAACAGCATCATCAATGGGGAAAACGTACCCAAAAAGCGAAAACGAAGTTGCGAGCAAATGCGACCTGCATAGGTGAAATACTTGACAGCAGTATTTGTACGTGAAGTACCCAGATAGGGCCTAACACTGGGCCTAACTCCAGCCGGTCTCGACAGTCAAATCTCTCTTCCTTTCACTTCTCTTTCTCTTTCAAAGATTTCAAAGGCAGGCTTACGCTGACGCTCAAAAGACCTTCTCTCTCGCACACACAAGCACGCTCATCTCCTCGACTTCAGGTCCGCATCCGGTGCCGTTTTCTGCCCCGTCCACCTCAGCGTTTACGGCCTAGTGGGACGTGCAGAGTGCTTCAAGCCCAGCATCTGCACATCTTCGAGGAGCAAGCATCCAAGGCATGTGTTTCAGCACTGGCGTAGCTGGTCTGAGGGCAGCTCCGCTTGTTGTTCCCCCTGGCATTCAGACGGATGTCGCTCAAAACACCCACACACACACACATATATACATATATATATATGGTTGTTGTTCAAAATAAC